GCCTACCCACAATTTGAGGTCAGGACATTCACTGAATCTGTACCATGCTCAGGCTGCACGATCAACTGTATGTTGTGTAATAGTGATAGAAAGAGCATGGTCGCTTGATAGAGTCCACAGATGCAGGTGAAAATCCTGGTTAGAAGCTGTCACTAGTAAAGATTCTGGTTACTAGCTGTGACTTTGAGCAAGTGACTTTTTAGACTTCAATTTCCTTATCTGAAAATTGGGGCTAATATGATAAGCCTTTGAAATGTAATATGAAGACTACTTAAGAGGAAATAACATTTGTAAAACATCTAGGAAACCATCTGATATACAGGCAACCTATACTCTTGATATTCATATTACTTTTAAAGTAATATTAGTTAGATATGAAAAAGTTTATAGTACTTCCCTAACAAAGTTTATTTTTAAAACATACATAGTTTTAATTAGCCTTTGTGGAAATTTACTTCATTCAACCCAAATAAAAGTAGAAATAAATAATTCTTTGTAGAAAATACTTGTATCTCACCTTAGTTGCTTCATTGATGATTTGGAACCTGGTGCTGTCTTTGCCTGTTGTGACTGAGTCTAGTAATGCCTGATAGGTGGACTTCTTGGAGAGCTGCTGTTTCTGGCGCCTACAGATGTGAAGTGTACAGATGCCTGAGAATTATTTGTGACTGTCAACATTCAATAGACTATATTACCAGGGACAAGTCATTAAAATTTACTATGATAGTAAGTGAATTAGGCACAGACAGTAATAGTATTCCAATAAAGTACTAACAGGAGTACTTTGTTATTAGAGTGCTAATAAAATTAATAGTACCAAGAAAAATACTAATAAAAGCGTTTATAACATAACACTACTAAAAGATGGTCCCTTGTCCCCTTTACTGAGAAGGTGGGGCAGTTTTCATAGATGACTTTTATTAGCTTATTAATTTCACTCCCTCTTTCCATGAAATGTACACTTTAATAAAAACTCAATAATTTCTCGTAGAAATCAACATAATCTAGTGGTTTAACAAGGTGACCGGGAGTTCACTCTACAGTTCCCTCTAAGGTACTTGTTCAAATTAAAATGATAGAATTTTCTTCCTCTAGAGTAGTGTGAATAAATTAGGAAGTTGTAATATATGATACAATTTTTGGTGATTTCAATTTCAGGATCACATAAGGCTCTGGGGAAAGAGGCAATCTTATACAGTGATGGTGGAAGTACAAAATGATACAGTCCTATGGAGGGATATCTGGTAATAACTAAAATTTCAAATACATTTACTCTTTGACCCAGTAATCCCACTCCAGGAAATTTATCTTATAAATACGCTTGCATGTATAGGAAATGACATATGCATAGCTTTTCATTGTGGCAGAGCTAGTATATCAAAACAGCCCCAAAGTCTACCAATACGAGAAAAACTGAATAAATTATAGTACATTTACCCAAATGGAATACTATAAAGCTGTAAAATGAGAGGACAATCCCCATATACTCATGCAAAGCTCTTCAGAATAAACTATGAAGCAGGGAAAAAGAGGTACACAATAGTAGATAGAAAACTACTTGGTATAAGAAGGATGGTGATATAAGAAGATATGCAGTCACAAAAATTACTGGAAGGATAAATAAGAAATTAATCTGGTTACAAGGACAAGATGTTGAATTGGGTGTAAGGGAACAGGAATGAACATAATTTTTCAATATACAGTGGGGCCTTGACTTATGAGTTTAATTCATTCCGTGATGGAGCTCGTAACTCAAATTACTCGTATGTCAAATCACTGGCGTTCACTGTGACGTTCGCTGCGCCAGCTAGCGGTGGGGTATCTGAAGCTGGCTCGTAACCCGAATTTTAGCTCGCAACTCAAAGCAAAAAATCGGCCGAGAGACGGCTCTATCTCGAAAAACTCGTTAGTCGGGACACTCGTAAGTCGAGGCCCCACTGTATATATTTTTGTATTATTTGATTTTTGAACCATGTAAATGTATTATCTATTAAAAGACAAAGTTTTCACATCATTTAAAAACGCTTAGACTTTTAAAATAACCTATTTACTGAAAATTTAAATACTACAGTAGTCATCTGTAATACTTTCAACAATAAAGATAAAAATACTACAGCAGTAGGTATATAAAGTTAAAGGCAAATGTCTGGGATAAATTCCTTAATCACCAAATTTCCTAATTGGTTCTTTCCTTATAAAGCCTATCAGTTCTCAAAATTTATTAAACATCAGTTTTGAAGTAAGGTCAGAAATATTTCGATCTAAGGAATTAATTTCCTCTCCTTACCTGTAGAAAGCAATCTTGCTGCAGTTTTTGAAAATGTTTTTATCCACAGCTTCATCTTCAACACTAAATAAACAGATATTTTAAAGAGTTATTTTACATAGGGTTTGTGAATCCATTATTTGTCCCTCTCTAACTACAGTATGATCATGAGAAGTAAACCTCTGCAATGCAAAATTGTGTCATGGCCATCACATAACACAATAACATGTGCTATAGTACAGGATCCTTTTAGACATCATCCGTGGTAAAGAACAAAACATGACGTTCGGGATTACTCTGAAATTAGTAGAAAAAGAGCACTGTTACTTATGAGGAAGGGTTCTTTTATTTTTATTTTTTTATTTTTTTTCCAGTTGATTTTAATCCTATCCATTCTTTTTTTAAAAATATATATTTTATTGGTTTTTTACAGAGAGGAAGGGAGAGGGGTAGAGTTAGAAACATCAATGAGAGAGAAACATCGATCAGCTGCCTCCTGCACACCCCCCACTGGGGATGTGCCTGCAACCAAGGTACATGCCCTTGACCAGAATTGAACCTGGGACCCTTCAGTCCGCAGGCTGACGCTCTATCCACTGAGCCAAACTGGTTAGGGCAGGGGAAGGGTTCTTTTAAAATAATGAGCGAAAAATGGTCATGGAAGGAGGCTTGGCTTGGGGTTGTGAACACACAAGACAATATACAGTTGATGTATTATATAACTGTACCCCTGAAACCTATATAATTTAACAGATATCACCCCAATAAATTAAACTTATAAAATAAAATAATTAGTGAAGGCTATGAATACAACAATAAAATCTGAAAGAGCAAAAACAAACAAACAAAAAAACCCAAATCAAACAAAAACCAATCCATCCATTTACTTATTCAACAAAATATTTTCAGAATATTCTTACTGAATGCTGGGTTCTGAGGAAGATACTAAAGACTGCCCATGATTTCTGTGTGAGCCTAACCAACAATCACAAATCAACCTGACAAATGCTACAATAGAGTTATGTGCAAGGTGCTAGCGTAAGGAGGGAAACAGGTGTAGAAGAAAAATCTTTAGCTTTTTAAGATGATGATGACAATCTAGGTGTCAGTGTTTTTTAAGACCAACTTTCCAGAAAAGCTGGTTCTGGACTAGAACATGAACAAAATGCATATATATTGCTAATTGAGATTATGTATTTAACATATGCCCATTAACAACTACAAGGTATAAAGGGGGGAAAACATCATGCAGAGATGTGGCTGAATGCAGCTACAGTCAGCATGTCCATGATTAAAGCTGTGACTGAACACCAATTTCAAAATATGAAAACAAGTCCAGACAGACATACTTGGCCATACTAAAAAATGATTTATCATGGAAGTAATCAAATCCCTCAGTCTTCGTTACTGTTTCTTTTAATTAAGTGTGCAGATTAAGAAATTGGCAGCCTTCTGTTTCCAGCTTTGAAGAATGACATGGGAAGAGGTGGGTACAGCCGAACTTTGTAAGCAACATGCTTGAAATTCATGGGTTAGAATTCTGATCACAACTCTTCCAGGTTTGTTAACCATCCTGAAAATATTTTATGAAGGTCTAGCTATTAATATCAACTAATCCCCGGGGAAGTGAGAAAAAACCGATAAAGAGTAAATGCACACATACAAAGCATGCAGATAAGAAGTGCAATCAGACAATAAAAACGTCAAAGCCAGAATATTGCTTGCAGGCCTTCCAGGGCCCTGGAGTCAGTCCCTGCAGGACCGCTGGGTCTTTACCTGATTTCCTCTTTTTCGGATACTTCCATGGTTTCCAAGTCACTTCACAGGCTCCAGGCTCTCGGTCCAAGTCCCTGGCGACCTTTTCGGAACGAGGACAGCCCTCTGTCTAAACCATCACCAGCACTTCCCCGTCCTCAAGTGCCTGGGAAACGGGAGTCCCCTCCAAATACGTAAGGAGTGACAATTCGACTCTTCCTCCAGGAATTTCCAGCCCCGGCAGAGCGTTTCTCTAGGGACTTATTTTATTGGGCAAATTTTTTCTTGGTAATGAGTGCCCGATGAGAAACTGCTGTCGTCAGAAACCGAAACTGCCTTTGCAGCAGAGGGGGCGTGCACGCCGAGTTCTAGCGGATGAAAATGTTCAGAGCATGAGCCGGGAAGGACCTAGATGGCCGGCCCTGCCTGATTGCGGCGAGGCTTCTGCAGGTCAAGCTCAGTGCCGGTCGCGCCATTTACGGAAAACCGACCCACTCCCTCCCCGCCTTACATTCTGAGTGGGAGGTGCCGGCCAGGTCTTTGCTGGGGCTTTATGTTCTCCACCCAGACCCTACAGTTAGCGTCACACTTTTTAGGGCTAGAAGGGGCTTTTTAAAAGAGGTTATACATATACTATACTCTCCAGTTTAGGAATCGCTTATGCTGCACCACCGCCAAATTCCAGTCATTAAAACTCCAGACACCGATAACGCACTGCTAGACCCTAACCAGGCAGCCAGATGACGGCGGCTTCCCGGACTTCTGGCCCCGAAGTCCTTTGACTTTGACGGGATAAGGGGCAGGAGCGAACAGGAGGCGGAGAGCCAAACACTCATGGGGTGTTGGCCTCGTCCCCAAACCTGTGCAGGGCTGGGCGAGAGCAGAGCCGCCTGAGGCGGGCGGCTTTTGGAGACCATCCGAACTCACCAAGGTGACCAGGGGGAAAATGACAGAACGACGCCTGCGCAGTTCCCCCAAAGCCTCGCACCGAGCGGTGACGACGTCAGGAGGGAGGGGCCGCTGCGTCGCCAAACAAACGAACCTCGCGAGGGCGCGAGGGCGCGAGGACCCGGATGATCCGGCCCGCCCCCGCCCCCCTCCCCATACAGAGCCGGAAGAGGGCGGGACGAGCCGGAAGGAGGTGAAATGCTGTCGGTAGACACTCCAAGGCTGTGAAGATGGCGGCGGCTGCGTGGCTTCAGGTGCTGCCTGTCATTCTTCTTCTGGGGGCTCAACCGTCCCCATGGTCGCTTTTGGGCGCAGGGCCGGTACCCGTCGCTGCTGCCGACCGGTCCAAGTGGCACATTCCAGTACCGTCGGTGAGTGTTCCGAAGCCACGGAGCCCGGAGGAGCGAGGGGTGGGGCTACGGCGGCCCAAGGGGTCCATGAAGGCTCTGCGAAAGTCCGCTTCCAAAGGGGTGGGATCGCCGGGAGTGTCCTTGCGGTTGCTTCGCTGGGGCCCACCTCCCGGGAGCGGAAAGCCGCGAATTTCTGTGGGTGGATGAGCGGGAGTGTCGGGGCCACGCCGGGAGCGGGGAGGAGCGGGGAGCGGTTTCGTAGCCAAGTCAGAGAACTTTGGGTGCCTGGCCTGAGACAGGTAACCGCGATGTACAGGGCTAGAGTGGTTTCTCTTCCAGGTGAAGTTTTACAGAATTCAGGGACCCCGGGTTGGGGAAGAGGGATAGGTAAACAGGCGTCTTTCTTTCCTCCCCTCGGCACTTTTTTGTTGCTGGATAGCTAGCTCTACGTTTCGTTTGAACCTTAGAATGGTTATTCTAAGTGTTGCCGTGTGATTAGGAACCCTAGGCATTAGCAAAATGTATTCTAATACTAGAACGGCTAAAGTGGAAGACATAACATTCTGAAATTTGATATGGTAAGGCTGGTCTTGCTTGTGGACCATTAGCTAGGTAGGTTTACCTTTTCTGTCTGTCCCCTTCCCCCCTTTTTAAACTTCATTGGAATAAGAGCCATTGTCCTGTGAGCAGGTAGCAATCAGATGCAGGTAGGACATGCGGAAAAGTGTGAGCACTGGCTGAAACCACCGCGGCCTTTTTGTTGCATTCTGCTCCGCTCACGGGTTGAAATGCCCCAAACTTACTTGAGCTTTTATGTGGCAAGCACGATAGCTTTTGTTCATTCGGTGGAGAACTTTAGGTTCTCAATTCTAGGTGTTTACTTGTTACTAAAATGAGTTACATCTGGCTATCTTCTCATAGAATAGTTTGTGTGTTTTTTTAGCCAGTGATGAGTGGGTAAAGGGGATGAGCTGAAGACCGAGTACCTCCTGTGACGATTTAGGTTGGGTTTTCTTGCAGCCTTCCTTCTAGAGTACTTGCCTCATAGCCAGAGGAGGGGGGCAGGGGGGAGGGACCGTGTCTGTACCAAGTTTCAAAATCCTGCAGTTTGGATATCGTGGAATTTTACTATAAGGGAGGCTATAGTTGCCTTTTTTTGTTTGTTAAGAAAATGAGCTTGAACATTTTTATAAATTTAGGTTTTTATACTATTTAGTTTCTGCCTTGGGAATTGTTCTCATGCTAATTACCTTTCTCCTTTATCTTTGCAGGGAAAAAATTATTTTAGTTTTGGAAAGATCCTCTTCAAAAATACCACTATCTTCCTGAAATGTGAGTTTTTGCATTTCATGAAGTTTTTGTTTGAGGTTTTGAGTGATCTTTAAACTTTTAAATTACCTATTTTCTACCCCTGTTGACTTATTCTCAACATATTTCATAGTCCACTATCTAGGCATTAACATATGTGGTATAACTAAGGTCCTTTCACTGAATAATCTTCAGAATATTTACTTGTGTGAACTTCCTTTTCTCTTTTTTCTGGTGTTTCCTGTATACAGTTGGCCCTTGAAAAATGAGGGGGTCAAGGGCTCTGACTCCCCACACAGTAAAAAATCCATGTATAACTTTTGACTGCCCCAAAACTTAAGTTGTTCTTCAGAATCTGTGGGGGATAGATTGGTTCCAGGACCCCCACAGATACTAAAATCAAAGGATTCTCAAGTCTCCTATATAAAATGGCATAAATCAATGCATACAGTCAACCCTCTGCATCCCTGGACTCCTAACTGCTGATGAAAGCAATACGGGTATTTATTGGGGGGAAAAAAAAGGCATGTATAAGTGGACCCATGCAGTTCAGGCCATGTTGTTCAAGGGTCAGCTGTATAGTTAGACAAATTGGGTTGGTTGATTGCCAGCATGGTGTTTTAATCTGTTCTGAGTTAAAGAGACAATACCGATTTTGCTTTTGTGTGCCTGATGGATGTTTACTGAACATATGACGTAGGTTTGTCAGATCACTGGCTGTGAAAGGATATGCATAGTGTATCTTTTGTTTGCAAAAGGAGTATTTTACCACTTGGATCTTTGCAAGAGGAAACTCAAAGATATTCTTTATTAGGAAATAGGGGTTATGTAGAACAAAACCAGTCTGTCCAGTTTAAAAACCACTGAATCCAAAATATCCCATTGTGCATTAAAGAAAAGCTTCCTTTTATTTCTGAAACTGGCTTTATTTCAGAGAACATAGGCAGCTCTATTTCAAGATCAAGGATAAAAATCTAAGTCATCCACGTATATTTCTATGCATAGCTCTCTCCATGAAGTGCAAACTTGGTTTGATGATTGTATCCTTTTAATAATTTAGTAAGTAGTTATTAAAAACTTACTATGTGCCAGGCACTGTTTGAGACAGCAGGGAAGTGATAGAAAAGGACCTTTCTCTAGTTGAGTTTATGGGGTTGAAGGAGGACTATATAATCTCCTGATAAATGACTTAAATTTGATATAAGTCAAATCTACTCTGACACACTGGTCTTTCTTATGAGGTTGGTTTGCTAGATTAGAGTAGCTTTTAGGGGTAGCAGTGTTTTATCTTTTGTGTGACAGTCTGTGTTGCGGTTTGGCTAGTGACTGGGGCTGTGAAAGAATGCGCAATTAGAAGAAGAGATGCAGAGAGGAAAATTTTTTTACTTCAAAGCAGCAAAGGGTCAAGTATTGCTAGTCAGTAAAAGGCTGGGAACCAAAGGTTGCTTGCTCTTTTAAGCAATGGCTATTGCAAAGAAGGAGGGAGGATTCTGTTGAAGAGCAGATACCAGGGCGGTTGTCTTGAAAAGTTACTTTGCTTTCCAGGAGACAGTCCCGCAGATGTCCTAAGGAGGTGTCTTATCAGTATTTTTCCCATGCCTGTAAAACATGCTTAGAACAAAAGTCAATGAAGAGTTCAAAGAGGCTTGTTTGAAGGGGAGTAGGGAAAGGAACTTTTCTACTAACTAGAGACTACTTTGGCATGAATTATTCCTGTGTTGATAAAATAGCAGGGAGGAGGAGGGGGATGCAAGGATGTAGCCTCGGAAGTAGCTTATCTTGTCCTGTAGTTTGAACAGAAGGGCTGTTTGAATCAGAGGAGCCAATAATCTTGTGGTTTAATTACCAGGTGCTTCTCATAAATTGTGGAAGGCCAGAGCAAAGGAAAGGACTTTTTCTGTCTTTACAGCCTGTATGCTATTCTTTAGTTTTATTATGTATAGTCTTTTCTCACCTGTTTTTTTATCTAGTGGTGTTTTGCCAAGTTACACAGGCTACATATTTTGAAGCTACATACATTTCATTGTTTTTGGAGGATTTGCAGCTCCTTAAAATTTGCATTATCTTTCACTTTACTTCTGTGCTTTCTCATATTTACCATGTCTCTGATCTTATACTTTTGTGGGTATGTTATATAGCTTTCCATGAAACTGGCAGGACCATTTTCATGATCTCTTAAAGCCATCCCATTCAAAGTTCTAACATAAATAGTAGTATTTTTGCAGCCAAGTTTCCTTGCAAATCTTCTCTTTAGGGGCACTTCTCTTTTTTTAAACTTTATTCTTTATTGATTTAATTTATTTTACTTATTTTATTTTATTTTATTGATGTCAGAGAGAGGAAGGGAGAGGGAGAGAGAGATAGAAACATCAGTGATGACAGAGAATCATAGATCGGCTGCCTCCTGCATGCCCCCTACTGGGTATAGAGCCCACAACCAGGCGTGTACCCTGTCCTGGCTCAACCACTGAACGACACCAATTGGGTTAGGGGTACTTCTTACCAGCTTTTATTTAATTAATCCTGCCTCTGTATGGTTCTTCTGAGTAGTTCATAGCAAGCTAGCAATATCCTTTTACATTCCCATAAATTCTGTTCAGCACATCAGATTTTAATTGAACCTTGTAAAAGTGTGTCATTTAAACATTAATTTGAAAAACCAATTTAAAACAAAAAAAGTAAAAGGTTATAACTCTAGGTATGCTGCTTTTGTAAGAACCAAAATATGTTCCTAGGTGCAGTCATGTTTATTTGTCATGTTTGCATAAAGTTGGAATCTCTACTTTCTATAACAAGAAGCAAAGTAAAAGGTAATGTTGACCCTCCTTCCACCCCAGACAGCAAATCACTTCCAAATCTTCCAATGCCTTGGTCCACTAGAATATTGTGTTCCAGACTAAGTTAATGAGGCGTTTATGATTTCGTAAGGTTCCTTGAGGTTTCTCTTAAGGTGGGTTTTGAAAAGAATCTAATACTCTTTTATTTTTGCTTTTGCTATTTTCTACCTTCCCCCGCCAGGTTTGCTTTTTATTCATAGTTCAATCTTGGTATCTTTCAAGGTTTAAACCATGAATTTTCTCCTTGGTGGAACTATTTTGAATATTGCCTTTTGATATCTCTAATGTTGTTATTCCTTATCTCTCCAACTAGAATGGAGTCTTTTTAAGGGTTTTACTAATTTTCCCCCTCCTATTTCCATCTTTGGCCTATCACAGTGCCATGTAGCATTGTATTTAAGTGCTCTGCTCAATAAATATTTGAATGATAATAGAAGACTGGTTTTAATTTAGAACTGCTTTATTGTTTCCAGATTTTTCCCTACAGAAATCCAGGTTTTAAAGCAGTGGTTCTCAACCTTTTGGCCCTTTAAATACAGTTCCTCATGTTGTGACCCAACCATAAAATTATTTTTGTTGCTATTTCATAACTGTAATGTTGCTACTGTTATGAATCGTAATGTAAATATCTGATATGCAGGATGGTCTTAGGCGACCCCTGTGAAAGGGTCGTTTGACCGCCAAAGGGGTCTCGACCCACAGGTAGAGAATCGCTGTTTAAAGCATAAAAATAGATACAGTTTCAAAGTTTAAAAACTGCTTAACTGCTTTTTCTTTTTGGGGTAACTTAATTTTATATGAAGAATATCCAGTTGTTTTTGCATATATTACTTCATTACCTTCTGTTCAGAGAAGAGATGGTCTATGAATATCTCATTTTAGCAGAAAATAAATGGGGTGGTGGGGTTTATCTTTTATTCACAAAGATTTTTCTTTTATAGTTGATGGAGAACCTTGTGATGTATCTTTGAATATAACGTGGTATCTGAAAAGTGCTGATTGTTACAATGAAATCTACAACTTCAAGGTAAGGAACGTAAAATTACAGACTTTTCTTGGGCTTTAGAGATCATCAGGTCCTAATCCAAGAGAGGAAGACAAACTAGAGTCGCTTCCCAAGTTGCAGACGTAGTTAATTGCCAGGAGTTCTCAAACTTTCTAGTCTCGGAATTCTGTAACAATTTAAATATTATGTAGACTCCAAAACACCTTTGTTCATATTGTATTTATATTAAAAATTAAAACTGTGCTCACTTCGGCAGCACATATACTAAAATTGAAACGGTGTGGTGAAGATAGCATGGCCCCTGTGGAAGTATGACATGCAAATTGGTGAAGTGTTCCATATTTTAACAAAAAAAAGAAAACTGAGAAAATAGAGAAATATTTATTCATAATAAATATTTATTCAGCAATAGTAAACTCACTGCATGTTAATATAAAAAAATTTTAATAAAAAAACTAAAAAAAACACACCAGAAGAGTGGTATTATTTTGTATATTTGCAAATCTCTTTATTTAATGTCTGGGATAGTAGAAGACAGCTGGAATCTTGTATCCTTTATTCAGTCTGTTTCGATGTTATTTTGGTTGAAGTCTGTGCACAAACCGTAGGCTCACACAGATATGTAGTTGGAAAAGGGGAATAATATTTTTTAAATGTTTTCAGTTAATTGTGGATATTGTTCTTTGATTCAATACCCAAATGTAGCAAGTGGAATTTCATAAAGGTTAGTGGTAATGTGGAATCTGAAACCATGTCAGTGAACTTTTTTTTTTTACTCTGTTATAGTAAATTAAATTGGTGTGTTTTTACTTTGAATGGACTTTTACCCATCTTTGATTTTGTAACATCATTCATTGGTCATTTAGAAAATACTGGTTGGTTAAATTATATAAACTTTCCAAATATTTACTCATTTTACAATTAACTCGAAATTATTTTTATCAGTATCACCCTTCAGTTTCATCAGAACCTCCTTAAGTATTAGAAGTTGTTAAGCTTATGGTGAGGCAAATAGTAAGTTTCCCAAAATTCCAGTTTTTACTTGAAAATTTAAATTTTATCATTGGCAATGAATATTGTCAGTTGTCTTCGTGAAGTGACAACTTCCCTTTGCCTATTTTCAAGAAAATATCTTCCAACTAACCAAGTCTGAAAAACTAGTTTGTCAGTCATTGTTTCAAGTAAATGAAAAAAGTAGACAGTTTAGCTTGTAAGTTAAAACAATTGCAAAGTGCTTTATCTTGACATAATCATTTATAGTATTTTGCACATTCCCTATTTTGTCTCATAGAATATTAAAAAGGCATGTACTCAGAGGTTCAGATTTAAGCCCTGGCTGGGTAGCTCAGTTGGTTAGAACATTGTCTCAGTAAACCAAGGTTGTGGATCAATCCCTGGTCAGAGCACATATAAGAATCAATGAATGATTGCATGGATGGGTGGAATAACAAATCGATGTTTCTCCTCTCTCACTCTCTTTCTCTCTCTCCCCCTCCTTCTCTCTCTCCCCATTCCTCTCTCTCTCTTAAGTCAATAAATAATTTTTTTAAAAGTTCAGATTTAATAACTTTAATAATGATTACTGCTTCATCAAAGACATTCTTACATAAAACTAGCTTTTTTAAAAAAAAAAAAATTGCAACTTTGCCCTGGCTGTTTCGTCTCAGTGGATAGAGCGTGGGCCTGTGGACTGAAGGGTCCCGGGTTAGATTCCGGTCATGCTTCATCAAAGACATTCTTACATAAAACTAGCTTTTTTTAAAAAAAAAAATTGCAACTTTGCCCTGGCTGTTGCGTCTCAGTGGATAGAGCGTGGACCTGTGTCCCGGGTTAGATTCCGGTCATAGGCACATGGCCAGGTTGCGGACTCGATCCCCAGTGTGGGGCGTGCAAGAGGCAGTCAATCAATGATTCTGTCTCATCGTTGATGTTTCAATCTCTCCCTCGCCCTTCCTCTCTGAAATCAATAAAATATATAAAAATAAATAAAAAAATGCAAGTTTGTGACTATGAAGAGTACAATGAGTACTAGTACAGGTAGGTGCCATCGCCTTGGTTCCTGATAAGGGGCAGCAGTTTTATTCATCATTACTTTTGTACTATTAGTAGAAGGCAAATAACATGATGATGATGGCAAGCAAATAACATATGATGATGAGGAAGAAGAGGAGGAGGAAGGAGGGGAGGGAATAGTTTTGACCTCTTAGACCTCATAAACGAAAGGGGCCTTGGACCATACTTTCAGAATTACCATTGTACACTGTACTTGAGCATTGAAGATTTATGGCTCCAGATGGATTTTTTTAGGCCTTTTTCATTCTTTAATTTTATTTTATTTTATTACATTTCTCCTACTATTCTTGAGGTTTCTTTTCAAAGATAATCTGACTGGTCTTAAAAATATCTACCATTCAGTCAGTTTTTCAAACCATAAACATTTTAAATCTCTGCCTAATATTAGGGTTTAAATTATCTTTTTGTGGTGTTAATTGTTTTTTGCATTTGTTATACAACATTGGATAGGATTAATAGGAGGAGGACTAAAGCACTGAAGAATTTAGAGAGATGATAATATCAGAATATAATTTGAGCCCTAACCAGTTTGGTTCAGTGGATAGAGTGTCAGCCTGCAGACTGAAGGGTCCCAGGTTCGATTCCAGTCAAGGGCGTGTACCTTGGTTGCGGGCACATCCCCAGTGGGGGGTGTGCAGGAGGCAGCTGATCGATGTTTCTCTCTCATCGATGTTTCTGGCTCTCTGTCCCTCTCTCTTCCTCTCTGTGAAAAAAATCAATAAAATATATTTTAAAAAAAAGAGTGTAAAAATTATTTTGGATTGTCATGGGACAAAATTATGGAAATGACAAGCAGATAGAGATGTGATATTGGACCTTAGGAAAAAGAGGGCGAGGTTAGGCATGTAGATATCAGAAAAATACACAGAACTGATTAGTGAAGCCACAAAAATGGAGTTTTTTCAGAGTATCAGCAGTGGACTGTTAATGGCTTCAACAATTTTTTGCTCTATCTTAGCTTATGAGCACAAGTATATCTTTTCATTGGTGGTATTAATTTAGTCAAGTAACTCTTGTTTTATATACAGTGGGGCCTTGACTTACGAGTGTCCCGACTAACGAGTTTTTTGAGATACCAGCTGTCTCTCGGCCGATTTTTTGCATTGAGTTGATAGAGTAATTTGAGTTAAGGAGCTCCTTAATGAGCTCGGTCTCGGAATGAATTAAACTTGTAAGTCAAGGCCCCACTGTATATATACTGGTATACACACACACACACACACACGGGGGAAAAGATTCACAGCTATCAAAGTTGAAGAAACCCATGTACTTATTTTACCTCACATCCCTGTTATCTCCATATTTGTTAGCTATATTATTTTTATGGTACCCTCCTCACCTTTTCTCCCCCTTTCCAATCTGTTTACCTTTTCCTTTTTTCACCTTATTGGTCTGGCTAGAATCTCCAGTGTGATTTTGAGTAATAGTAGTAAGAGTGGATATCCTTGTCTTGTTCCTGATATTAAGGAAGAAGCAGTCAGTCTTTTACTGTTACGTATGATGTTAGCTATAGCTTTTTGGTAGATGGCCTTTATCAAGTTGATGAAGTTCCATTTTATTCCTAGTTTGCTAAGAGTTTTAATCATGAATGGATGTTGACTTTTGACAAGTGATATTTCTGCATCTATTGAGATTGTAAAAATCATATAAGTATATTTTCTTGTAACAAAACCCTCTGCAGTGGTTCTCAACCTTCCTAATGCCACGACCCTTTAATACAGTTCCTCATGTTGTGGTGACCCCCAACCATAAAATTATTTTCGTTGCTACTTCATAACTATAATTTTGCTACTGTTATGAATCGTAATGTAAATATCTGATATGCTATATGTGTTTTCCGATGGTCACGACCCACAGGTTGAGAACCGCTGCCTAGAGTCTGTTTCCCAGTTTTGCTAGAATTTTTAGAGGAACTACCCTTTCTTTAGAGTCTAACACTATTAGAGTCTAGGATACTATTATATAGAGTCTTTATTTGCTGTTAATTTTTAAAATAGTAAACCCCAAACTATATTTGTATAATAGGTGATCTATATGTTTTAAATATCTTACTTGTGAAAGTAAGTTAAATACTTTGTATTTTTTTATTTTTCCAGACAGGAGAAATGGAGAAATATTTGGAAGACCTTAGGGAAAAAAGGGGCTTGTCTGGGAAATATCAAACGTCATCAAAATTGTTCCAGAACTGTAGTGAACTCTTTAAGGCACAGGTAATGTTTGGTAGTAGTTGGAGGGAAATAGAAAAGATGAAAAAATGTAATGCCAGTATTTTTGGTGATATCTATTTCCTGCTCCTCAGTTCGATCTTCTGACAGAAATAAGTTAGAAGCATGTTTGGATTGGTGCATAGCCAGTCACTTACATAATTTCTTATCATAAAAAAGGATGTACTTTATTTGTGTGTAAAAAGCAAACCCCAATTTTTTTTTATATTGGTTAAGATACATAACATAAAATTTACCATTGTAATAATTTTAAGTGCACCATTCACATTGTTTTGCAATTATAACCAGTAGTCATCTTCAGAACTTTTTCGTCTTCCTGAATGACACTTTATAACCATTAAACAGTAACTCCTACACACACGTTCCTGGTAACTATTCTACTTCCTGTCTCCATGAATTTGACTACTCTAGATACCTTACAGAAGTAGAATTATAGCAATATTTGTTTGGCTCCTTGCACTTAACGAGGTGTTTTCAAGGTTTATCCATATAGTATGTATCAGAATTTCTTTCCTTTTTAAGGCTGAATAATGTTTCCTTGTACATATATAACACATCTTGTTTAGCCATTGATGGACATTTGAAATCCACAATTTTTAATTATTTTGTCATCTCATCTAATTGGTATATCCCCAGAAAAGTCAGCATTTTTAGATTTTATTGCTACAGACCTGAAGTGAAAGGGTTGAATTTTACACATTTAAGTGGGATTTATATTATAAAATTATCTTCTCTTAGAAATAGGATCAGACACAAATTTTTAAACAAAAATATATCTTTTAATCAAAAATTATATATCTTATAGGTGTTAAAAATAGTTACTGTAACTATAGCCTTTGCTTTGTGTTTACTGAATTTAAATATTGCTTCAGAATACTTAGCAAATTTCCTTGAAGAGGCAAGGAAGTTCATGGAGAGCTAGGTTTTCTGTCTAGTTACTAGAAGTAGTTTATTGATAAGGCTGTAATGAATAATAGTAATAAGCAAATGAAGTAATTGATAATCGAACTGTAAAGATTGAGTTCTTATTATAACTTGGATTTTATGCACTTGGAGGAAAAAGAAAATATCTTGTAGTGGTGGAAGAATGGTAGAAAAAGAAAACTAGGAGCTATGTGATATTGAGTAGGGGGTTTTCTGTTTGTTCTCCAAATTTTTCCCCCCCTCTTCCCCCCAGGCTAGGAGAATCATTCAGCTTTTGCTGGATTTCATTTGGAAAGCTACCTATTGTATACTATTGCCCGAAGTTTCCTAATTTTAGATCTGCTATAATCTTTCCAGGGTGTTGGCATATACCCCTATTGGTAAGGTTTCCTCTCCTCAGTCTAATGCAGTGGTTCTCAACCTTCTGGCCCTTTAGATAGAGTTCCTCATGTTGTGACCCAACCATAAAATTATTTTTGTTGCTACTTCATAACTGTAATGTTGCTACTGTTATGAATCGTAATGTAAATATCTGATATGCAGGATGGTCTTAGGCGACCCCTGTGAAAGGGTCGTTTGACCACCAAGGGGTCACGACCCACAGGTTGAGAACCGCTGGTCTAATGTAACAGTTGAAATACGTGCTCTAATTACTCTGGAAGTAAAATGCCTCACCTGCTGATAACTGGTAAGAAAGGTAAACGTTATAATTAGAGTAGGTTTTTTATAGCTAGGGAGTGTGTGGCGGTGGAAGGAGCAGTGGACCAAAGAATTAGGAACCTTAGGTTCAAATCCAGAGCTTTGTAGCTTTGAGCCACATTTTCCTTATCTGCAGAATGATGGGGAACTATAAGATCCCTCCATCCAAAGCATATATCTTTTATCTAAGGTTTGGCATTCTTAAATATCTATAATTCTTATAGCAGAATTGAGTGGCCAGTTTGCTTTGGTAGTATTTTTAGTTCCCAGCAGGGTTTTATTCACTCGTTTGTGGTTAATTGAAAATCTTTTGTTTGTCAATGTCATCTATACTAATAAATGGGTAATATGCTAATTAGGGTGGACGTCTTCCGGATGACCTTCCGGACGTTTTTCCAGACAAAGCTGCAGCGGCTGCAAAGGGCCGAGGCTCAGGCTGGCAGTGGCAGCAGCAGCGGGGTAATGGGGGCGGCACTTTCCCCTGATCTGCCAGGTTGCCTCCCGCAGGGGGAGGTCAGACTGCAGCTTAGGCCGGGGGCTGAGGCAGAGGAGGTTAGGGGCGATCAAGCCGGCAGGGGGTCAAGGTAGGGGCAATCAGGCTGGCAGGCAGAGGCAGTTAGGGGCAATCAGGCAGGCAGGCAGAGGGGTTAGGGGCGATCAGGCAGGTAGGCAGAGGGTTTAGGGGTGATCAGGCAGGCAGGCAGGCAGGTGAGTGGTTAGCCAGTGGTCCTGGATTGCAGAGGGTGTAGGCTGGGCTGAGGGACTGCCCCTCCCCCCGTGCACGAATTTCGTGCACTGGGCCTCTAGTCCTATATAATAATTCTTCTATATAATAAAAGGGTAATATGCAAATAGACTGAATGACAGAACAACCGAACAACCAATCAAAGTGTAATATGCTAATGATATGCTAAGGCTGCTCAACCGCTCGCTATGACATGCACTGACTACCAGGGGGCAGATGCTCTGACTGGTAGGTTAGCTTGCTGCTGGCGTCCGGCCGATTGGGACTGAGCGAGATGGGCCAGACACGCCCTGGAGCCCTTCCAGGCCCGATTGTGTACTGGTGGGGTCCCTCAGCCTGGTCTGTGCCCTTTCGCAATCCGGGACCCCTCAGGGGATGTCGGAGAGCCTGTTTCAGCCCAAACCTGCAGGCCACTCCCCTTGGGAGGGCACCAGACGCAAGGCTCATGGCTGGTGAGTGCTGCTGCGGTAGCGGGAGGTTCTTCCGGGACTGATTGGGTGTGAGCCCGCAGCAGGCACAGTAGGACTGGGATGAGCGGGAGTGGCAGGTAGAAGCTGCAGGCAGCATTGGACTGTGGTTTTCGGCCTGATCCCTGCAGGCCACTCAAAGGGACGCAACCCGTGCACAAATTCGTGCACCGGGCCTCTAGTGTTATTATATTTACTGTTTTAACGTGTTTTGCTTTAACCATTTTTATGGCTTTAGAAATATACTTTTATTATATATCTTTAATTTTAACTTTATATTTCTTTCATAGAGCTTTTCTGGGGATTCTGTGCATCGATTGCCTCTTTTAGGAGAAAAGCAGGAGGTAATTGTTTTCCTTGTTAAATATTTCTAGGAGTAAAGTAAAATTTTTGAATTAATTTTCTTTTTTTTTTTAATGTTTAAAGGCTAAGGAGAACGGAACAAATCTTACCTTTACTGGAGAAAAAATTGTAAGTGTAGTAGGAAATTCAGCTTTCTTATGTTTGTGTATTTTGAATTATCTTGATATGCTAACATTTAAAAAGAAATAAGACTGGAAGCTGTACACCAAAATGTTGATAATGATTGTCCCTGGATGGTGATATGAGTGATTTTTATTTTCTTCTTTGTGTTTTCTGTATTTTTCATATTTTCTGCAATCATTTTGTATTGTTTTTGTAATTACTATCCAATACATATATTCAACTTTGCTTTTAAAAATAAAAGCAAAGGTGACAGGCAAAAGAATATATTTGAGATCCAGGAAGAATTGCAATCCTGGGAATCACTGATTCTGGCAGAAACCCAGATAGTGTTCTGATTAGGAGGTAAAAAGGGGTATTTATGAGAAAGGGAGGTGGGAAATGATATGAATTGAAGCAAGGAATTCCTGTTGATGTTAATAAATCAAGGAAGGAATTTCTATAAGTGCAAATAGGCTAAATTATTCTTTCATTCTACATCAGTGGTTCTCAACTTTCCTAATGCCGTGACCCTTTAATACAGTTCCTCATGTTGTGGTGACCCCCAATTTCATTGTTACAAATTGAACATAATTAAAGCATAGTGATTAATCACAAAAACAATATGTAATTATATATGTTTTCTGATGGTCTTAGGCGACCCCTGTGAAAGGGTCATTCGACCCCCAAAGGGGTCGCGACCCACAGGTTGAGAACCGCTGCTCTACATGGTGGTGCTAATTCTAAAGAATGTCTTTAGTTTTCAGTCTGGTAGTCTGGCACTCTGCCTTTCTGTTAGCTTTGCAAACAGTTGTTTAGAATACAGTGTTGATTTGGCCCATTCCAAAGATTTGAGGAGTAAGATGTGCAAGGCAATTGCCCTGGGGTGGCAGCTCTAGCTTCATTTTGAAGTGGTTCCGGTTATATTATTTTTCACAAATAATACTTGTAAATAGGAAGAAACTTTTAAGAAAGAATCTTCAACTCCACCTAAAATTATCTTATAATAGAATATAACTGGAATAGATAGTGAGATAGGTTGAAGTCTATACGCTTAAAAATTTCATAATTCACAATAACTAATTAATCAAAACTGCCAGTTAAAAATATAGAAGAAATAATATAGTTATCCATGTTGGGTCATGCTTTTTACAAAACTGATTAAAGCTTTTAATTTATAACAACTTTATTAAGACATATACATATCTCAGAATTTACTCTTTTAAAACATACAATTCAGAGGTTTTTAGTATATTTACAACCATCAGTTATTATCTGCTTCCAGAACATCTTCATCACCCCAAAAAGTAATGGCATAGCCATTAGCAGTCACTCCTCATTCCATCCTTCCCCCAGCCCTAGGCAACCACTATTCTTCTGTCTTTAAGGATTTGCCTGTTCTGTTCATTTCATGTAAATGGAATCATGCAATTTTTGGACCAATGTCTGACTTCTGTCACAATTTAAAACTGCCTTGACTTTTACTTTTTTGTTGTGCAGAGCCTGAAGATCAGCCAGAGGTGAGTGAGTAGGGTCTTCTCAGGTCTCTCTCAGTCATGTGTGAACAGTCTCACACATACATGCACGGCCCTGCATGTACTCCTCGCCTTCTAGATTTCCAGGGATAGCTTAGAACTCTTCAAAACGCCTATGGACATCTTAATTCCAATTTTTTCTTTTTAAGTTTTTAGTCAGCCTCTTGATGGCCTCACCTAGTAACACTGGTGGGGGCACCTGGGATCTTTCACACTTGCTAAGTGTTTTTGAGAGTGCCCTGAGTACAGGGTCCTTCCCACTGAGTGAGCTGAGTGAGGCCATATAAATGTTAAGCCCTGGGAATGGAGCTTTTCAGCACCTTGCAGAGACCTCTGGGTTTTACGGGGCCTCCAAACTTGTTTTTCCCCCCAGTGGTTGCCAAACTTCTATTTTTCACAGTTGTTACAGTTGTGAGCATTTTGGTTTCAGGGACCTTGGAATGGGCATAGGATTAGGGTGAACAAAAACACCACAAGCTTGCTTTTTCTACTGGATTCAGCTACTTTTCTTACTGAGATTACTCTTCAGTTATTTATTTTTCTTCAGGAAACAGTTGTAGAATTTCCAGAGTTCCAAAAAAGTTAATTTTGATAGTTTTTGCCCATATTCTTGTGGCTTTTATGGGTGAGTGTATTTTCAGAGTCCTTATTTTGCCATTCTAGAAGTATTTCCACCCTTCCTCCCCCTATTATAATTATACAGAATTTTAACCTAAAAATTAGGCATGGCAGACTTCATTACTTTTTTTTTTTTAAGCGGAGAATGTCCATTGGATTTTTTCTTATTGCTCATATGTATATATTTAGTACTATAAAAATTTTAGAAAATATACATAAATGAAAAGAAAATAATCATCCATAATACTACCACACACTGAGACTATAAATATATTTATCTTGTCTTTTGTCTTTGTGCATATTTATATCTAATTTATTTAAAAATAGGAATCTTACAATATGTATTACTATAACTTTTTTAGCTTAGCAATATAACTTGGACATCTTTCCGGTTCAGTAAATATTTATGGCATATTTATTTAAATGCCTGAATGGTATTTTATTGTTATGAATACATTGCAATTTGTTAATAGATCCTGGACACTTGTGTTTCATTTTCTTGTAATTTTAAACAGCACTGCAGTGAATATTTTTGTAGATATATTAGTCTTTAGATTTAACAATTTCTTGTTGGTGAACATTTTGCTTCTATAACTTGTGCCCTGGCCGGTGTTGCTAAATGGTTAAAGCATTGGCCCATGCACCAAAGGATGGCAGGTTTGATTCTCAGTTAAGGGCATGTACCTGGGTTGCAGGTTCCATCCCTGGTGTGGCGGGAGGCAACCAATCGCTGTATCTCTCCTACATATTCTTTCTTCCCACCCCTACTCCCCATTTGCACTCTCTCTAAAAATTAATGGAAAAATATCCTTTGGTGAGGATTTAACAATAACAACAAAATCCTTTGTAATTTCATTTTCTAGCCGTTTCCTGTGATTATACAGAACATACGCATATTAATAAAGATGAGATTATATTTTATATACTGCTATGTAATTTTTTCTTTTTACTTGACAAATTAGTACATTTAGCACTACTTCACCTTTTTATGTCTGTGTGCTATTTCACTTTATTGGAATTTTTGTAATTAACACCCAGCTGATGTGCATTGGGTTGTTTCCAGATTTTCACTGTTATGGATAAGGTCACATTCATAATGTCTAATTATATCCTTTTTTTTTAAATTCCTCACCTGAGGATATTTTTCCATTGATTTTTTTTTTTTTTTTTTTCCCAGAGAGAGTAGAAGAGAGAGGGAGAGACAGAGAAATGTCAATGTGAGAGAAACACATGGATTGGTTGCTTCCTGTATATGCCTCACAAGGGCCCCGGCCAGGGAGGAGCCCACAACGTAGGTATGTACCCTTGACCGGAATTGAACTCAGGACTCTTTGGTCTGCAGTCCGACGCTCTATCCACTGAGCCAAACTGGCTAGGGCTGTCTAGTTATATCTTTGTGCACATTTATAATATTTCTTTGGGCTAAATTTCTGGAGGTGGAATTGTTGGGTCCAAGTTCCTGTATGATTTTTAAATTCTTCTTTTATGTTTTGCCAAAGTGCTCTGGAGAGAAACATTGTAGAAATTTGTTGTTAAAAGAAAATCAGACGAGGTTCCCTATTTCCTAACAAACTGGCTATTTTAATTTAAAGCATTTTATGCAGTTTGGTTAAATTGTTTAAATTGTACTTTTAAAAAATGGTTGTTAAAACTGAACATTTATTTATATGCATATTAGCTATTTGTAAATTGTGTTTTATTCAGTGACCTTCTGTATATATACTTTTAAGTTCTACTCAAGGCTTGAGTCCTATCCTAGTGATTAAAGATTGCTGAAAGATGACGCTGAATATCACAAGTAATACTTAGAAATATTTATTCAGATTATAGTAAAAAAGAAGTGAAAGGATTATCTGCCTTTTGATTATTCTTTCTAAAAATTGAACCTAAGGGAATATCTTATAATCCTATTTAAGGGATACAAGTTCAGTACCTCTACTCTGATAAAACATAGTTTTTTAGAGGAAAGGGCCTCTCACTGTTCCTTCACTTAAGAAAAGATTTAATATTCGATTAGCTCACTTTTCTGGTTTGATTTCAGCAGCAATGTAATATACTTACCATAATATTTTTTTCAATTAATAGACTTACTTTTAGAGCAGTTTTAGGTTCACAGCAAAACTGAGCAAAAAGCAGAGTTTGCACATACCCGCTCCACAAATGCACACTCAGAACCCCCCCCCCCCCACCATCCTGGTACATTTATTTATAATTGTTGAATCAACACTGACACATCGTTGTCAACCAAAGCCCATGGTTTAGTACATTAGGGTTAGTTCTTTGTGTTATACATTGTTTGGGTTTTAACCAATGTGTAATGACAGATATACACTATTATATTATCATACAGAATAGTTTCGTTGCCCTGAAAATCCCTATGCCCCACCTATTCATCCCCCGCTTCTCCTAAGCCCCTGGTAATTACTGATTTCTTTTACTACCTTCATAGTTTTGTATTTTCCAGAATGTTAGTTAATTGGAATCATAATGTACAGCTTTTCAGATTGGCTTCTTTCACTTAGTAATATGCATTTAAGGTTCCCCATGCCTTCTTGTGGCTTCATAGTTCGTTTCTTTTTAATGCTAAATAATGTTCCAATGTCTATTATCCACTCTGAGGGGTTTCATAGATCAATGAAGCTTACCCATTGGTCTCTGGATAGAAGTTCTCTGGCTGTACCACAGTTTATGTATCCATTCACCTATTGAAGGACACCTATTGTAAGAACTATTAATGGTACCTATTTGATAGGGTTATTGTGGGTATTAAATAAGATAATAAATAAGTGTCTGCCATATGAATGTTATTTTTACAGTGTCAAAATATCTATCATTCAAAATTAAATGTAAACTTCGGCAAATTTGGGAATATGAGAATTATTCAGTCCCTTTTGAAATTTGTAAGAGGTAGTTTTTAAAAAATATATTTTATTGATATTTTACAGAGAGGAAGGGGCGGGATAGAGAGTTAGAAACATCGATCAGCTGCCTCCTGCACCCCCCCCTCCACCCCCACTGGGGATGTGCCCGCAACCAAGGTACATGTCCTTGACCGGAATCAAACCTGGGACCCTTCAGTCCGCAGGCAGACGCTCTATCCACTGAGCCAAACCAGTCAGGGCTGTAAGAGGTAGTTTTAAGATATATGAAATTAATAGCAGAGCAGCATATTACACCAAAGTTGTACTGGTTAATGAGCAAGTAAATTCTGTAAAGGTTTAGTTAATTATGGGTAAATATGAAGTGATATACTTACAACTTTGAAGCTATAAAGTTTTCTCACAAACTGCTCCTGAATGTTGTCAGAAGAGGACCATCGGACAGGAATAAATGTATGTTTTATCATGGCATTTATGTTAACTGACTAAGATAATCTAGAAAATGTATAGCTGAAAAATCATTTAATCTGCTTTGTGTGACACTTTGGATTTGTATATGGACTATAATTTTAAACTCTTGTTTAGCCTTTTCTTGAGTTGTAGGATAATTTGAGCATTTGAGAAAAGCTGTGATTCCACAGGAAAATGCATAAATGTACAAAATCTATTATCTACTCTAAGGGGTTTCATAGAGCAATGAAGCTTACCCATTGGTCTCTGGATAGAAATTCCTTTTAAGAACATACGGTAATAAATTTCAAGTCTAAGTAGCAATATGAGAAAGAAGCAGACATTCGTTTTCTATGTTCATCTCCTTTATCTTTGAGTCTTGGTCTTGTGTTTTGAAGGTCCATACTCTAGAATGTATAGCAACAAATCCTTTGAAGACTTTTTCCTAGGGCTATGCTCAAACTAATTGGCCTTGGAACGGATGCTTCCTAAGTAATCAGTTCCATAAACATGGAGGCTGTAACTCCACTTCCTGGACTTTGTGGGTCAGTGACTCTTGCTTTCCACATAGACCAGCCAGGATTAAATTTCATGTAAATGTGAGACCTGATCAGCAGAAGTTCTGGTAGTCTTGGAAAGACCATGAGCAAAGGGAATTAGATTCAGGAAGTGGTGTTTATAATTCACTAAGTCACTGATGTCATCATGGGTGTTATTTTTTGGGTGATTTAAATAATCTTAGTTTGTTCAGGATGTTTATGTTTAAAAATACAACCTAGTGTCCTAGCATGGCTTACTTAAACAGAGATTCAATTTAGTGGTTTTAGTTGAGGTTTTCCTTGTAGAAAAATAGATAAGTAAAACATGTGATTTTTGTGTATAACAAGATAGAAGATGTCCTGCCTTTTAGTAATTTATAATCTAACCTATTTAGTTATATGTACAATAGGCCTGTTTGTTTTCTTGTGTCTGCTGTTTTAATGAATGAACATGAAGGACTCAACCATGTTTCTGGTACATTCTGAAATAATTTTCATACTGGATTATTAACTTATGCTCTTAATTCTTAAGACTTGAAGTTTTAATGCCTTTTTTCTCTCTAGGCAATGCATGATCCATTGAAAACTTGGCAAGATGCACCATACATTTTTATTGTACATATTGGCATTTCATTCTCAAAGGAATCATCAAAAGAAAATTCACTAAGTAATCTTTTTACCAGTAAGTACATTTCATTTCTTTTTACCATTTGCATTATTATCTAGTTGTGCCATGTATGGTGAGTCATGTGTAATTGCTTTCAGGGAGGGAATAATTAATTAAGAAAGTTTGTTCTGACATAGAAAAATTGAGGGAGAGAAATTAACATTTTTCTGTACTCAAGATGTACCAGATACAGTCTTAGGCACTTCATATATGCTTTCTTATTATATACTAGAGGCCTGGTGCACAGGTACAGTTCCTAGGCCTGCCTGGCAATCGAAGAGCGAATATCTGGCATGGAAGGGCAGGTCCCAGCTGACCTCTGGGCCCTGGGCAGCACCTGGGCACCCAGGTCCCACGCGTCCTTCTCTGCCTGAGTCCGGCTCCCTCAGTGCATGGGGCTGGGCGGTGGCCCCACCCTCTGCTGCCGCCACTGGTCGCTGTCTGCGGGGGCGATCAGTGGGCCCCACTCACACCCGTGTTGGCTTGGCGCCGCCCACTCACCTGCTCCACCATTCTGTCGCAGTCCCACTCTTGTTGGGGCCCATGGAGGCCGGCAGCGCCTTCACTGCTGCCCGCTGCTAGTGCTGCATTGCTGACGCCCTCCATGTTCTGTGCCGCCCCCTGGTGGTCAGCACATGTCATAGTGAGCTGTCGAACTCCTGGTTGAGGGGACAATTTGCACGTTAGGCTTTTATTATATAGGATGATAGATTCTAGATGTCATTTTCTTTCATTTGATTCTCCAGCTTTTTAAATTTTTAATTAGTATCATGTTCTTGGTACTTGGTTAGTAAGCTACTGCAAAATTCCAGAAAGAGATGACTTGTCAAAACTTGGTTACCAAGTCAAAACCTGGCGATATAAAAATTAATGGACTTCGGTAATTATTTAATGTCTCAATATTTTTTCTTTTTTTAAAATTTATTTTTCAATTACAGTTGAGATACAAAATCATAATATTACTATGGTGTACACCTGGAACTAATATAATTTTGTATGTCAACTGTCTCAATTTTTCTTGATGGCCTCCTTTCCACTCTTGCTGCCCAGTTCATAGAAGTCATCTCTTTCTGGAATTTTGCAGTAGCTTACTAACTGTTCTTATTTCTTAGAATTTTTTTGTTTTGTTTTGTTTCTTCCTTCTCTGCGGTTTCCTTTCCTCCTCTGCTTTCTCAAGGAGAATATTGAAGAGAAACAATTATGGTGGCCATCCTTATCTTACAATATTGGCACATATCATCATTAAATATCATGTTAACTGTAGATTTAAAAAAATGTATTCTTTATTTGGTTAAGGCTATCCCTTCCTATTCCAAAAATAAGTATATTTTTGTTAGTATTAAGAATGAATGCTCAGTTTTATCAGATGCTTTGATTGTATTAAAGTGATCATATAGATTTCCTCATTTAATCTGTTCTTGTGATGCATTATATTAACTGGTTTTCCAATGTTAAACTGTTCTTGAATTTCTGAGATGCCATTATTTGGTCTTTATACACACACACACACACACACACACACACACACACACGTTTTCCAGCTTATGTTCTTTTTTTGTTTTATCCTTCTGTTGTTTGGAGCTAAGAAGAAACTTTAAAGCATAGACCGAACTACGTTATGTGAAAGTTTCTCTCTAAAACAGTTTTTTATCATTTTTCTTCCCTTTGTTAAAACCTTTGAAGTCTCCCTATTGCCTATAAAATGCCCACATTTATAAGCAAGGTTTCTAAAACTATAAGTTGTCCCATTTTACTTTTCGTTGCCTTGTATCAAAACACTATGATATGGTACTATGCATTGTCTCAGTCTACATGTTCTTTAAATATATTATGCATTTTTACACCTGTCTTTGTTATTTCTTCTGCCCGGATGGCTTTTTACTTTATCCTGGAAAATACAAATTTCATTCTTCTGGGTCTGTCTCAGAGGACAGTTCTCTGTGTTGCTTTTCAACTAACTCTCTCTTCCCTCTAGATGGTAATCCACTAGGATGGCAGAAAACATCTTATACATCTGACCATCCCCTATTTTCCATAGTGTGTATCATATAGTAAGTGCTTAAGTTCTATTTTAGCATAGAGCAGGGGCTAGTCAACTTTTTCTTAAAGGGTCAGATAGTAAATGTTTTCTCTCCTATAACTACCTAACTTTGCCATTGTGTGAATGCAGCCGTAGAGAATATGTAAGTGAATGGATATGACTGTTTCGTATTAAAATTTTATTTACAAAAAGTGGATGGCCACATTTGGTCCATGTGCTGTATTTTACTGACCTTCTGGCATAGTGTAAGCAAAGAATGTGACAAATATTCGCTAATTATTTTATTTGCTTTTTTATTAAATTAAGAAGGTATAGATTTAAAAATCAGTTCTGCTATGACATTTTTATGATTGCTATTATAGGATGCTCCTTTTGTTCATAAAAGTATTAGATCCGATTTATTTATTTTTAATTCTCACCCGAAGACATGCTTAGAAAGAGGGTTCATGGGGTTGCGGGGGGAGGGGGGAAGAACACCGATGTGAGAGAAATACTGATTGATCGCCTTCCGTATGCTCCTCAGCTGGGGATCAAACCCAACACCTACGTATGTGCCCTGACCAGGAATCAAACCAGCAACCTTTTGGTGCACAAGCCTGATTCATTTTTAATAATGGCATGTCCTTTCTGCCTGATAAAAATTATAGTGGGGCCCAGCTAGCGTGGTTCAGTGGTTGAGTGTCGACCCATGAACCAGGAATTCACAGTTTGATTCCTGGTCAAGGCACATGTCCAGGTTTTGGGTTTGATCCCCAGTGGGGGGCATGCAGGAGGCAGCCAATCAATGATTCTCTGTCATCATTGATGTTTCTATCTCTCTCTCTCTCTCCCTCTCCCTTCCTCTCTGAAATCAATAAAAACATATTTTAAAAAATGAGTGGGATATTTTTGTTGAATAGGCATTTATTAGTGTGTTTCTGGAGATAGATACTACTTTTTACTTGTTAATCAAATATAAAATTTATCCAAATAGTTTTTCCATTACAATTTAAAAGTAGTCATAGGTTTGTTTCTGTAAATCAAATCTGTCTTTCAGATACTTGTTACCTTCACTTGTTCTGCTTCATTAAACACTGTTGTTATTAAGCACCTTCTAAAAATGATACATTAATGTAGCAAAGTCATATAAAACTGAAGTAGGTAAAATAAGCAATATGAAAATATAGGTAAGGAGAGAGAGCAGATAGAGGGAGTCAGAATGAAGGAACTAAGCACCTTCTAAAAATGATACATTAATGTAGCAAAGCCATATAAAACTGAAGTAGGTAAAATAAGAAGCAATATGAAAATATAGGTAAGGAGAGAGCAGATAGAGGGAGTCAGAATGAAGGAATGAAGTCCTGTAATTTTTAAAACATATTAGCGCTGTGTTGTAAGAAAAGTATATATGAAGTGTGTTTGGAATTTAGAGGAGATGGGGAAGTTCCAGTTGGGTAGCTCACAGAAGGTTTGTGGAGGAAGTACATTCAACCTAGTCTTTAAAGGGTGTGAGTATGGGAACAAAGGGCTTTTCACTTAAGATATTGACTGTAGCAGCGGCATGGAGACGTATGCAGGACATAGCACAAACCATGAGAACACTTAGTGAATTTCAAAGTGCTCTACACATGTAATATTCGCCAGAATTGAAATGGTTAAAAGTAAATGACCCACTGGAATTTTCATTAATTTTTATCAGACAAATATCAGATAATGTTTTTGTTTAAATCCTGAATTGTTCACATTAACTCTGAGGACTGTGTTTTGGCAGTGACTGTTGAATTGAAGGGCCCCTATGAATACCTCACACTTGAAGAATATCCGTTGATGATTGTAAGTGAATTTACATTCTTTAACTTGAACATTAAATGAGTTTAACTTGAAAGAGTATCCATGTTTTGTGGCAATTTTCCTTTTTAAAGAATTGTTCCTGAACAGTTCACAAAATAGTGCTTGTACTTTGGCACTTTTTACTAGAATGTCACCTTGTGAGTGTCAGTGAACCCCTTTGTGCCTCATTTTCTCATCTGTAAAATGAAGAGGTGATGATGTGTGGAATTGTAGACTTGGAAAGTTCCTCAAAGATTGTTTCAAATCTCACGTCTTCTCAAGGATCCAAAGCAGGGCACTTCTTACAACCCTGTAGTTTCTGATCCCACTTAAAGTAATTAAATGATGAAGTTTCATCCTTTTTAGTGTATGTGTGTCTATGGGAATATCCTTAATGTACTTTTTAGATTTTCTTTGTTCAATTTTTTTTCTTCTTTTTTCCCCTTTTATAGTTTTCCCACTTGGTTGTGTTTCATTTCCTTGCCATACCTTTTTTTCTTCAGTGTTCTCTTCATTTATATAATTTTACATTGTGAGCCGAAAAAGCTCAATTAATACAGACGAGCAGTCACTTGATAGCAAGCCCTTAGGTAGTCTCCCTCTGCTCAAGAGGAGATAATTATTTTGTGTGTGAGTATCAAAATTCAAAGAAATAAAATAATGATCTTTCAAGTAGAAGGTATGATATGCATTTTTTTTTGTATCTGTTAAGAGTGTGTATTGATGCTAAAGTGGCCCTTGGCCTTAATCCTCTTTTTTATCTCTTATCCACTTCTATGACAGTTTTTCATGGTGATGTGTATTGTGTATGTCCTTTTTGGTGTTCTGTGGCTGGCATGGTCTGCTTGCTACTGGAGAGATCTCCTGAGAATTCAGTTTTGGATTGGTGCTGTCATCTTCCTGGGAATGCTTGAGAAAGCTGTCTTCTATGCAGAATTTCAGAACATCCGTTACAAAGGAGAATCTGGTATGTAACCAAAAAATGCTAATTTGTGAATGATCAGCAGGTGAGACGTGACAATTTTTCCTAAGGTTAGCAGTTATTAAGTAGGTTTAACTTTTCAGTTATTTAATTATTAGAATAACTTTGATTGTGACTTTTGTTTTTAATATTATAACTTGCAGGTTCAGTGATTTAGGAGTAATTTTACTAAAATATATTCACAAAAGTAATGACTTTTGGGAAAGACTGTTGACATCATTGAATTTCATTGCCGTTGATTTTTAAGGCACCATTATTATATGCATCTAAGAAACTAACTACTGTGAATTTAATTTTAAGATACCATTGATTATAAGAGACATTTTGATTTAAAAAATTTTAAATGGGGGTGGGGATACATCTAAGAATTGGTGAAATATAGTAATACCAAGAAAATAAGAGGGTGCTTATAGTTTAGTAAGGTGAACAGATGACAGAAACTGTTTGATACTGAAGTTTTTTATGATAGCTTCAGTTCTCTCTCTTCAGATCATTTAATTATTGATAATTATTGTTACAAGTTACACTAATTAAATATTTCCCTGGTCTTTGAAAGGGCCTGAAAAATAGTAGATGTGAAAATGAATTGAAAACTGTGTGTGTGTTGTACTTTTCTATGGATAGCTATATTTCACACTTTTTAAAAATGGGGAGACTATTTCCTAGTTGCTATGAACTGTCCAAGTAGGGTAAAATATTCTGCTGAGGTTTTAGTGAAGTGAGTGGTAAGGAGGGAAGGTAAATTGAACACAGCCAGATTGCTATTCACACGAATAAGATGATGTCAGTTTATATATTTGTAAAAATTGAAGAAGTATTTTTTTTTTAGTAGAACTAATACCAGTGCTTATTCTGAAGAGTGTTAGAGATCTATATTCTGTTCTAGAATTGCACCTTTTCTCAAACCTAGATTTACAGCACTTTTCCCCCCTTCTTTCTCATAGTCCAAGGTGCCTTGATCCTTGCAGAGCTGCTTTCAGCAGTTAAACGTTCACTGGCTCGAATCCTGGTCATTATAGTCAGTCTGGGGTATGGCATAGTCAAGTAAGTATTCATTTCCTGTATGGAAAAGTGAAATGAAACACTGATTAAATTGAAACAGTATTGCAGCTTCCCAGTATAGTAGTCCTGTAACAGTTGATAAAAAAATAGTTCTGAAATAAGAAAAGGTATCTGAAATTTTGTAGATTTGTAAAAGTTGGAAAAATGTTAGTTTCATCTCACAGCTGAGAGTTCAAGAAGTAGGAAAGCCTGCAATTGTAGCAAATGACATTGAAACACCAAACTTTTAGAGTAAACTTATAGTGACTTTACTCTTCCAAAATATTTTACAAATCAGATTTTTTATGGGAAGAGCATTCTTGCTGTAACAATCTGGAAAAAATTTGTTGAAAAAAATGTATTTATTAAGTGCCTTAGCATTGTTCTAGGCCCTGGGGATACAGCAAATAAACAGAAGACTTGGAGCTTACATTGGGGGAAAATGGATAAAATCAGTGAGTAAATATGTAATATGTCAGTGATAAGTGCTAGGGAGCAGATAAAGCAGGCAGAAGGTATAGAGGACAGGAGGTAGGGCTTGTAAGTGTTAAATAGGGTGGTCAAGGACGGCTTCACTTACTGACATTTAGGCAAAGATCTCAAGTTGGTGAAGGAACTATATGTATCTCCAGAGGAAGAGATGCTAAAATGTGGTCAGATTCTGTATATATTTTGAAGGTAGAGCCAGTGGACTTCGCTGACAGATCAAATGTGTGATGTGAAAGAGAGAGCAATCAAGGATGATGCCAACTATTTTGGTGTGAACAAATGGAAGGATGCAATTTACATTTACTGAGTTCAGGAAGATCTTAGGTGGGTTAAGTTTAGAGTGGGTGCAAGATTAGGAGTTCAGAGTTTAGTTAGATATACAAATGAGGGAAATAAGGGGGAGAGATATGAATTTGCAAGTCATCAGGATGTAGATGTTATTTAGCCATGAGATGGGATGTGATCACCAAGGGTATAAGTGTATTTAGAGGAGAGGTTAAAGGATTGAGTCCTTGAACATTTTCTGTTATTTAGAAGTCAGTGAGACAGAGTAGAATTAGAGGAAATTGAGGAGGATGACCAAAGCTGTGGGAGGCAAGCCTGAAGACTTTCAAGGAAAGAGTGAATAATTTTGTCAGAGAGGGTTGAGACTTGACCATTGGATTTAACTACATGCAAGAATAGTTTTGGTCAAGTGGTAGGACTTAGCATGAGCTTGGTCGGAGTAAGTTCAAGCGAGAATAGAACAGGAGTTGGAGTTAGCCAGGTATAGACAGTTATCTCAAGGAGTTTTGTTTTAAGTGGGCTAAAGAAATGGGAGATTTTCACTTTTAAAACTCATTCATATAAATGAGACTAGAGGAATGGGGGAGTTACATTTTTAAATTTGTTTAACAAACTAGAGGCCCGGTGCACAAAAATTTGTGCACTCGGGTGGGTCCCTCAGCCTGGCCTGTGCCCTCGGGGGCCCCTTACCCTCCTGGCTGCTGGCACCAGTTTTCCTCCGGTGCCCGGAACCCAGGCTTTCGCTCTTCGCTCTTTGCTCGCCGCTCGCTGCTCCTGCCCGGGGCCGGTGGGGCGCTTGGCGCCTACATATGCAAATTAGCCGCCATCTTTGTTGGTGGTTAATTTGCATATTGCGCTGATTAGCCAATGGGAGGCACAGTGAAGCTATGGTCAATTACCATGTTTGTCTATTATTAGATAGGATATTTCAATGCCTCCTATATGCCAAGACATATCCTAGGTTTTTAAGAGACACTAGTGTGGAGAAAAATCACAGCCCATATAGAGCTTTGCTAGTGTGTAATGCACTAGTCAATAACCCAGGGATCTTGTTAAAATACAGATTCTGATTCAGTAGCATTTTGAATATCAAGGACCCTCCTTCAAGCAGAAGCTGCTTAAAAGATTTTTTGTATTTTGTTGGATTTTGAACTCTATAATGTACTATTTTTCTAATGAGTTTCAATAGGGTATTTGATTATGTTAAGAAGTTGTTTAAATTTTTCTGTTTGAAAATGTTATGATTTCTTTTCTTTAAAAAATTATCTGTTTAAAAACATACTGAAACGTAGACAAATAAAAGATAGGATGTCTAGAATTTGTTTCAAGATAATATGAGAGGATGGGAAGTGGATGGGTAGTGCATGGAGCAGGATTGGCTGTAGGTTGGAGGATATTAGGACTGGATAATGGATATATAGGGGTTTATTATACTGTTGAATATGTTTCAGAATTCTCTATAATAAAATATATATTTTTTAAAATGCTGCAGTGCCCTGGCCGATGTGGATCTTGGGCATCATCCCATGCACCAAAGGGTTGCTGATTTGGTTCCTGGTCAGGGACATGACTGGGTTTTGGGCTTGATGCGGGGGAGGGGGGAAGAGCATAATTGATGATTTACTCTCTCCCTCTCCCTTCCTCTCTAAAAATCAGTAAGAAAAAAATTTTTAAATGTAGAATTAAGGGGGTCTGATTTATTATTCAGTATCTTGTTTTAAGAGCATAAGTTCTGAGTTTTTCTCTCTAATGTGACTTTACAGAGTATGTCTGGCTTATCTCAACTAAGTTGTTGTCTATATTAATCAACATGAGTTTGTCTCAGGGTTTGTCACATTTGTACTCAACTTTATCTCTTTGCTTTCTCTTTAGGCCTCGCCTTGGAGTCACTCTTCACAAAGTTGTTGTAGCAGGAGCCCTTTATCTCTTGTTCTCTGGCATGGAAGGGGTCCTCAGAGTTACTGGGGTCAGTACTGCTTAATCTAAGTTTTTGTGGTCAGTTCAGACATAACTGTTTTTGTTTTGAGAAGGTGAATTGGGAATATCTGTGGGCTTCTTTACTACTTTCTCTAAGTCACCTTTGGGCTCTGATTTTTAAAATGTATATGTAATTCACTTTTTCTTTTTAATCTATATTAGAGCTTTAAATTCAGTGTGTGACCAGAATGAATGCTTTCCCACCCATCCCCAAATTACTACTTGTTTAGTTCTTCTGGACAGTGGTTCCATTCTTGTATAAGTGGCAAACCTTGTAATCATGCACTTGCTGGTAATCTAATTTTTGTTTTAAAGTGACAGTGCTTTTTACTTAGCCAGCACTTGAGTTTCAAAGGTTTTCTTAACATGTAACTACATTTCACATAATTCTTGAGAATTACATAATTATGCCCTTTTAGGGGGAGGAAACCAAAGCACTGAGAGAGATAAGTGATAAGGAAATTTATGTTAGAGCTGGATTAATGTGAAGAAGTGGGCCTCCCTAGGTCATTGCTTTACTTTCTTATTTAAAAATCACTCTATAAACCCCACATTTCCCTCAAGTAAATTGGGCTCAGTTAGTTTTGCTATAAATTGCTTTTAAATAAAACACTTTTGAATGCAAATTAGATGTTCAAATCACACTGTCCTCTGTATGTAATTTTCTTAGACTTTTAGCAACTTTAACCCTCTGTCAATTGCGTTTTCTTTCTTCTGCTGCTGTAGTATTTTGCTTATATCTTGGCTTTGATAGTTAACCTGGCCCTGTCAACAATTGATGCCTGTATTATTTTATGGATATCCTTTTAATAATACCCTGGTAATTGGGTAATTAGGGTTATATAAATAGCATGTTATATATATATATATACATATACATATATATATACATATACATACATATACATATATATGTGTGTGTGTGTGTGTGCGCGCGTGTGAGAAAACAAGCAGCATAGTTTGGAGGACAAATACTTGTATTAATATCTTATTTTGAGGTGAGCTCGTTTTTGTAAAATTACAATTCAGGAAATCAATAATTCTTAGTATGTTAATGATGCAATACTTTTAAATATGAGAAGGGCCTTTTAAGACTTGTAGCCAAAATAAAAATGATAGGAAATGATAAGATGGATGGAGTCTTATATCACCATAATGTTTTTGGTGTGGTCATTTAAAGTGGATTTTAGCATGCTAGGAGCTCGTTGGAGGTTAGCAGCATGTTTTATTGTATTGAGATTGTATTTGACAGTTTTCATGAAATACACTTTTATATTCTGCATGATGGTTTGTCAGAGGGGCACAATGATGTGGGTGCCAAGTGTTATTCCTGTTTCTTTTCTTTCAGCTCAGATGCAAAACCATTCCATGTGATTATATAAATGCCGAATTGTGTGCTGGTCTCTTCTCTGCATCTCTAGACTCTCTTTTTACCACCTCTCTTTCTTTGTCTGCAGGCCCAGACTGATCTTGCTTCCTTGGCCTTTATCCCCTTGGCTTTCCTAGACACTGCCCTGTGCTGGTGGATATCCTTCTCATTGGCTTGTATGATGGTGGTCCCTTTTCTCCCCTTGAATATGGGTTTCCATCGATCTTTCTGCAAAGGGTTTTTACCGGTTTTGTTGATTACTTCTTAATCTGGGGATTAGGATATTGCTGTTTAAAAACCTGAGAACTCAGGTAAGCAGTTTTGTGTGTGTTTTTAATTTTGAAAAGTGCTGGTAACTGTGGGCGGAACATAAAAGCTCTGGTTTTTGTTTTTATTTTTAAATGAGCATTTTTACCTTGATTTTGGAATTATTTGTGCACTCCAATTAGTGTTACAATCACTGACTACTCTGCTCCTGCTCTTTCTTTCAGCCTCTAGGAATTATTAAATGCTTTGAAATGATGAAAAGATTTTAATTCTTAAAATGTGATTTAAGGAACTACATAAGATGGTTTGACTCTCTTAAAATTCTATGTAGGTTTAGCAGATTATAACCCTTATAGGGTAAGTGTTTTGTACCTTTATTCAAAAGTTGGCTTGGCATTGTCTGAAGACTTCCACTGTAAAATAAATGTTGATTCATTTACAGGCAAAGTTAACCAGTAGATAACAAACATATTTACATTTGAATATTCTTTTTCTCCTGCTGCTTAAAATTAGACATTTGTTTATTAGGGACTTGACCTGTTAAAGGAAGGATTCAAGTTTTTAGACTTTAATCTTTTTGGGGGTTTTAAAAATTTGTTTTGGTTATGGTATATTCAGTCCTATGTGTAATTGTGCAATATTATTGTCTTGCTAGACTGTGACTGTTATAAAAAACAATGTAAACCAAATTGTAATTTTGTGAATTTGAGTGGATTGTCATATATCAAAAATGTTTGAAATTGAGTGTCTTGGGTTTAAATAGCCAAATGTTTTCTAGGTCAGTATCTTTCAGGTGTGCTTTTGTAAGCCTCTATGAATATTGGGAAGAGTGGAGAGAGGGACTGGACCATACAATAACGTAACCCAATGGATAGGGAGCAGCTAAGTCTCTGTCACAGGGCAGACTAAGGTCCAACTCAAATATTTTAATATTTGCTGATTCTCAAAGTTGGACATGAGAGCAGATATTGTCTTTGGTAGTCATCACTTCCCCTCCTGTCTTTCTGTGGCAACTTCTACTTGGGAATAATACTCTGAAAATAGAAAGTTGCTATTTTAGAGCCTTTTTGCCTGGGATTTTCAGCCAATTATAATTGTATGGTCCTATTAATTCAGAATTGAACAGGCAGCTGATGGCACAGGGGACTGACTATAGAACTCTGAGAGGTTATTGGCATGAGTGTATTCATGACCCTAGACTGGATTCGCTAAGACGTAGAAAACAGAGCTACCTACCTTAAAGGAAGAGAGATTTTACTAATTTTCATTTCATTTGTCTGTTACTTGTCTGATACTCATTTTCATTCATTTTCTCTTCTATTTGTCTTTTTCATCTTTGTTTCTCTAAAAAGCTTATTCCGGTCTTTCTCCTTTTTTATATTTTTTATTTTTTGCATTTTTATTTTATCCTGATTCTGTATTCTCTTCAGTATCTCATTAAAAATGAAGACTTTCTTAGTCATCATGGTGGCTTGGGGTGTTTGTGACATTGAGAATAAGAGAGCTGTAAGGCCTCTGGGATATCCAAAGCTCTATCAATATGACCCCAGATTCTCAAAGAAACTTGAGGATTAATTTACTAGCTTATTGTTTTATTTGAATGTTGATTTCCTTGACCTGCAAACACATATTTATTAGCCTGACTCAAACAATGAAGCTATTAAAACTTCGGAGGAACATTGTAAAACTCTCGCTGTACCGACATTTCACCAACACCCTTATCATGGCAGTGGCAGGTAAGTGGGGGCTTCTTCTTGCTGTTTAAATGCCATCCTTTTAAAACAGATATTCTGAACCTGAGAGGCCATAGGTGGGCTCTCTAAAATTATCTAGAAGGTTTTGTACATTTCACTTGGGGGAAGGATCTTTGTCTTTTAGCTTTTGTCAAGTTCTCAGTGGGATCTGTGGTTCAAAAAAGATTGCGAACCACTTATTTTAAGTATAATAGCTAAAAATCAATTATATATAATTTCAGTTTTTGTATATCTCTCTCCTGTCTCCGTTCTTTTTCGGAAGCATTTTTTTTTTTCTTGAGGCAAGTTAGCTTGAGTGCCATATAGCATCTAGATTCCCTTTAGAAAACATTAATACTGGCTTATTTGGCTTTATTAAATACCTATGGGGTTTATTGCTATTATTTGGCTTTTACATATGTCATAAGCATCCAGACATTAGGTAGACCGTTCTTTTTCGGAAGCATTTTTTTTTTTCTTGAGGCAAGTTAGCTTGAGTGCCATATAGCATCTAGATTCCCTTTAGAAAACATTAATACTGGCTTATTTGGCTTTATTAAATACCTATGGGGTTTATTGCTATTACTTGGCTTTTACATATGTCATAAGCATCCATAAAATACAGACATTAGGTAGACCATAGCCAAAGTAGGTTAATTTAATTTGCCTGCCTTTTGCCCCTTGTACCAGGAATGGGAGGTCTGGCCTATGATTGGAACCAACAACTCTGTCTTGCAGTAATTTTATCAACCTTTTTTCCCCTCCTGACCAGCCAAAGAAAAGCTAGCATTATACTAAGGATGAAGGAAGGAAAAAAAACTATATTGTTGGTAATGCTGGGAAATGCCATGTTTTCAATACCTTCTTTTCCAATTTATGAGGATTACTGAAGTAACCAGATGGTAAAATTAGTCTTTAAGTACAGAAAGGGTTGACAAGAGTGTGGGCCTTGCTTATAGTAGTTGTGAAGAAAATTTGCATTGAATAAATTTGTTAAAATCACTTGATAAAAAATGATTGTGATGTTTTGGGTGTTAGGAATGTGTGGGATTTCACTTACCCATTGAATGTAATTGGGGATGTAAACCAGTATTCATATTCTGACTAGATTTTTCATTTCCTGTTAGCATCTATTGTGTTTATCATCTGGACAACCATGAAGTTCAGGATAGTGACTTGTCAATCGGTGAGTTATAAATACATGCATTTATGAATAGTGTACTGTTTTATATGCAGATAGCCATGTTGATGACAATGGTAAGGTTCACACCCTACAAGAAATTAGGGCTAGGACTCTACCCTGAGTGTTAGAATGCTTCTCTTCTCCTAAGTATTCTATATTACTATGGCTTTTGGTATGGTAGGATTTTTTTTCTTTTGTTTTGTTTTAGGGGCGGGGGATCTAATTATCCCAATGGTGGGAAAAAATTTTATAAGTGATAAACCACAGTCTATCATAACCCAATCTTATCTTAACTAAAAATTCTCAAGAAATTCAGAATCCTAAACATTAAGTGTATATGAAGAATGCTAATCTGAGTAGAAGTCATGCTCCTAAGATCTGAGCACAAAGATTGTGGCCAATTTCTTTGGCAGTGCAAAGGCTCCATTTTGGTAAAAATAAATTCATTAATATGAAAATTATAAAAAGTAGCAATCTAATAGAAACCCTTCCCCAAAGATTCTCAGAGCTCTAATGAAGCACTCACAAGTGCTCTACAGTTGGTGCCTTTTTATTCTTTGTATTTTTTAAAATATGTTTTTATTGATTTTTAGAGAGAGTAAGGGAAGTGGATAGATAGAAACATCGATGAGAAACATCGATTGGCTGCCTCCACACCCCCCCACCGGGGTTCAAGTCTGCAACCCCGGCGTGTGCCTTGACCAGGAATCGAACCGGTGACCTCCTGGTTCCTGGGTCAACACCCAACTGCCGAGCCATACCAGCAGGGCTGGTTGGTGCCTTTTTAAAAGAAATGTACTGATTGATTTTAGAGAGAGGGGAACATCAATTTGTTGTTTCACTTATTTATTTATGCATTTATTGGTTGATTCTTGTATGTGCCCTGACTGGGGATTGAGCCTGCAACCTTAGCTAGCTAGTTGGTTCCTTTTTTCTAACAATAGTAAATACTACAAGGGAAGAAACTATGTTTCTTCACTTTTATATTCCACTCACTTAGCACAGTGCCTAGCACATAGCAGGCTCTTAGTACATGTAAGTTGAATTAATAAATAAGTGATCCTTGTTCTATGCCATAGGGCTTCTGAACAAAGGGATAAGATAATGTAATACGTGTTATACTTTTTCCTCTTCGGTAGGATTGGCGGGAGCTGTGGGTGGACGATGCCATCTGGCGGTTGCTGTTCTCCATGATCCTCTTTGTCATTATGGTTCTCTGGCGACCATCTGCAAACAACCAGAGGTTCTTGGACACTTCTTATTTACGCTGCTAACCATTGAATGACGGTGTTATCAAATAAGGGTGGTGCAGTGGGTGTCAGTGTCAGGGTCATATCATATAATGGAAGGAGGAGCACTCACTGGGTCTGGAATCAGGAGAATTAAGTTCCTGTCTCAGCTCTTCTATTAATTTGCATTGTGATTTTTGGCATGCTGCCTCTTTTCACCAATCTGAGCTTTAATTTCCTCTTTGTATAATGTGGGGGAATTGAACCAATTGATCTGAGGTCCCTTTCATTTCTGACAACTGATAATAGATGTATTTGAATGGGAAAATAAGGAAGGTAGATAGATTTGACACTGGTAATGAGAGTTGTACCTGTCTAATGTTCAGAAGGAAAGAACAGTTTCTATAGTCAGTAGCCTAGCCCACTTTGTAACAATAGAGAGGGTAAATGAAAGCTTACGTGAATGACTGTAATTAAAAATCCATGTGTGAATTTGCTTTGTCCATCTATAGGCAAATCTCAATTATTTAGGAATTGGCTGTCTTAATTTTGTGACTCTATGCCTTTATTTCCCTTCTTTTTCTCCCCCCTTTTGTGCGTGTAGACAGTTAAAAGTGTAGATTACACAACTGTACCAACAAAGAAGGAAAAGGATTGAGATGCTATAACTAACCACCTAATTTTGTAATTAGATATACCAGTAAAATATACAGAAAAAAAACAAATGACATTCTTTTATCCCAGGAAAATAGTCTTGTCTTTTCACACTGTACTCTTAATATTTGTGTTCCTTGAAAAAAGTTGAAAAAGAATGGTGTGAAAGAAAATACTGTTCAGAAAGAGCCTAGACATCCTGGTGACCATCCTTTACATTGATCTATTCCTCTGTTCACATGCTAGCTATATCTATGGATGGGGTGGGCAAAAGTAGGTTAATAGTTGTAAAAAAAAAAAAAGTTTACTTTTTATTTTTTTATTGATTTGGGGGAGAGAGATTTACTTTTTATTTTTTTATTGATTTGGGAGAGAAAGAGAGAGAGAGAGAGAGAGAGAGAGAGAGAGAGAGAGAGAGAGAGAGAAACATTGATGTGAGAAACATCGATTGGTTGCCTCCTGTACAAACCCTGACCTGGGGTCAGACCCACAACCTAGAGATGTGCCCTGACTAGGAATTGAACCCATGACCTTTCGGTGCATGGGACATCACTCCAACTGAGTCATACTGGCCAAGGCACAGTTTATTCTTGTATTATTATTTATTAACTAGAGACCCGGTGCACGAATTCATGCACAGGTGGGGTCGGGCCAGGCTGGCGGGATGGAGGGGCTGCGGGTGATTGGCCAGCTGGCCCCACCCCCATGTGTTGGGGGCTGATTGGGGCCTGGATCAGGCTGGTTGACTGTTACAGTGCACGTCATAGCCACGGGCCGTTCTGGTTGTTCTGCTGTTCTGGTCACTGGGCTTTTATATATATACTAGAGGCCCGGTGCACGACATTCGTGCACTGGGAGGGGGTTGGGGAGGATTCCCTCAGCCCGGCCTGAACTGGGAGGGGGTGGGGGAGGATTCCCTCAGCCCGGCCTGCACTCTCTCGCAGTTTGGGACCCCTTGGGGGATGTCTGCCTGCTGGCTTAGGCTCGCTCCCCATGGAGCCAGGTGTGAGCCTGGCTCGGGGCTTCTGGCTGAGTGGGGGAGCGCCCCAGGTGTGAGCCTGGCTCAGGGCTTCTGGCTGAGTGGGGGAGCGCATTGACCACCAGGGAGTAGCTCCTGCATTGAGCGTCTGCCCCCTGCTGGTAAGTGCGCATCATAGTGACCAGTCATTCCCCCATTCAATCAGTTTGCTTATTAGCCTTTTATTATACAGGATAGATATTATAACTGTAAACCTACTTTTCCCCACCCCTGTATAAAATTAGTCCCTTTAGTCATTAAAAGATTTTTTGCTTTACCTCTCCTCTTCCTTTCTGTCTTATCTTTTTAAAAATATTGTGCCTACTCCCTCTAACTCCAATGTTACCAGCCTAATGTGATGTGTCCTTCCACATTTTACTCGTTTAAATATGGGCTCTTCTTTTACTCAGTAGTGGAAATGCCTTCCCAAGACAACTGCTTTAAATTAAACTTAATTATTTTCATGGATGGCATAATTTTACATGGTACAGATGTAGTACAGTTAATTAACTCATTTCTGTATTGATGGGCATTTGGACTATTTCCATTTGGGGTGACCACCCGTATGTTTAGAAGGACTTAAGGGACTCAGTATTTTCTTGTATTTAGAACAGAGGGTTTTTTTTTTACAGCAAAATGATGTGATCAGTAAGGGAAAAAGACACAGGTGGAGTCTAGAAAAATCCATATTTTCTTTCCTTTCTCTGAGGAAGTACATCAAGTGTGCTCTTTTGCTCAGCAACAAAAAGTGCAGTAGCAGTGTTTCTGTTCAGGGAAGCCCATTAGAGACTCAGCACTCAGGTTTTTATTGGGACTTGACACATAAGCACCCTCTGCTTAATATGTACCAAAATTCCAGGTTCCCAGAAGGTAAGCAAAGCTTATTATAGGTTGAATTATAGAGGTAATCTAGGCACAGTGATCCACCCTTACCCAGTTAGGAAACAGGTCCAGTGCCAGGTTCCCAGACACCAGCCATGGGGCATCCAGGTAAGTAGGCTCTCTAAAGGCCTGCTTTGTTACCTCATATGCATAGGGGTCATTAAAAATAGGAATAAGGTACAATGATGTTTTAAATACCATTTTACATCAATTCTTAAACACTTCAGTATTTCTTTGCCTAAATTTTTCTCCATCACACTTATAACTATTAACTGTACCCAGAGTTTATTGGTTAACTTTAAACTTTTTAATGGTGTTCTTGGTTATAGAAAAACTTGAAACTAGGGAGTCAAATTTGTCAGTTTTTCCCCTCAGGGATTGTATATTTTGTGTCTTAAGACATCCTTTCCTAGCTTGAGGTGAAGTCATAGTTATTTTATAATTTTTTACAAATTTCATAATTGAGATTCCATTTATCAAGAATTATTTGATTATAGGTTTTCTGTTCTCTTCAATTGCTCTGATCCTGCATCAGTAGCACACTTAAGTAGTATCTGGAGGGCCTAAACCAGCCATGGGCAAACTCCGGCCAGTTTGAAATGAATAAAACTAAAAAAAAAAAAGACCGTACCCTTTTATGTAATGATGTTTACTTTGAATTTATATTAGTTCACACAAACACTCCATTCATGCTTTTGTTCCGGCCCTCCGGTCCAGTTTAAGAACCCATTGTGGCCCTCGAGTCAAAAAGTTTGCCCACCCCTGGTAAACCATGCTCCCTCAATCTCTCCTTTTTTTAAATGTCCTTTGCTATTGGATCTTTGGCTCCTCAATAAAAATTTACCTTGATTGTTTAATTCTAGGAAAACCTTATTGGATTTTTATTGGAATTTAATTGAATTAATGGATTAATTAGGGAAATCTTTTTAATCCATCTTTGATTATGGTATATGTCCATTTTTTTTAGTTCTTTCAATGCCTCAGTTACGTTTTATAATTTTATTTAAATGTTTTGAAAGTTTTTATGACTCTAGGATACATACTTTAAAAATAATACATATGACTTTCTTGAATATGTCGGAAGGCTTTGGGCTTTTGTATATTTATCATATCCATCCACCCTCCTACATTACCTTGTTAGTGCTGATAATTTTTAGGTTTTCTCGGTAGATTGGTTATTAGCTAAACTAATGATAATGTTATTTCTTTCCAAATAATCTTGCTTCATTTCTGATTTTTCTGTTGGCTAGGCTATTGAATTGAGGCAGTGAGAGTGGGACTCCTCATCTTATCACTTTAAAATAAGTGCTTCCAGGTCATCATTAACTTTGATATCTACTGTGAAATTTTGTTAGTTAACCTTTAACATGTTACAGGTGTTCCCTATTATTCCTAGTTTATAGAGTTTTCTCTTTTAATCACAGAAGGGAGATTTAAAGACAAGGTAAATGAAAGTAACAGGCAACAGTAAGTACAGAGCAAGTTCAAAGATAAAGCATTCTAGGAATGACCTGTCTGCTGAGTCTCTTGGAAACTGTAGGAAAGATATCTGAGATGTATTTGATTAGGCCTTCATCTTCCCACTTCCACACTTGGAAACAGATTTTAAAAATATATTTTATTGATTTTTTTACAGAGAGGAAGGGAGAGAGATAGATAGTTAGAAACATCGATCAGCTGCCTCCTGCACATCTCCCACTGGGGATGTGCCCGCAACCCAGGTACATGCCCTTGACCGGAATCGAACCTGGGACCTTTGAGTCCGCAGGCTGACGCTCTATCCACTGAGCCAAACCGGTTTCGGCAAGGAAACAGATTTTAAATTACCTGAAACACACAAGATCAGAACTTCCATCTCAACTACCTCATTGAAGGCTGAGATTTTAAATTACGTGAGAATTTACTTACCTCTGGATGATACATATGCTTGTAAATGAACATTTTTTAGATGCTTACTGTGTGTCAGATATTACTTTAAGTACTTTTTAAAGTGACTTACTTACTTTTCAAAGAACACCTGAGTAATGTTCTGTTATCCCCATTTGCAGATGGGAAAACGGGAGGTGCACAGAGAGAATAAAGAATAAGTAACTTGATTAAAGTCATGGGTAGCATGTAGCTGAGCCTGCATTTATACACTGAGTGGCCAGATTATTATGACCACCCCATCAGTACTTCCATTACACTTCCAAAAATACTGAATATTGAAAATTTCCTAAGCAAATACTCTCAAGGTTTTATTATTATTATTATTTACATAACTAATTCACTTCATTGTACTGATGGGGTGATCATAATAATCTGGCCGGTCATAATAATCTGGCCACTCAGTGTAAATATGGTACTGTCCTGCTTCTCCCTTGCTAATACAGGCAATTGAGAGCTTTCTGAAGGGGAAGAATTATTTTATTATTCAGTTAACTGATTTTATGAATGACTGTAATTGGGAGCTTCAATAATCAGTCCTGTAAAATCCAGATAGTGGAGCAACTGTTGTAGTTTTCTGATTTTTTTCCTTATGTTCTACCTTTGTTCTCTCAGGTTTGCCTTTTCACCTTTGTCTGAGGAAGAGGAAGAGGATGAACAAAAGGAACCCATGCTGAAAGAAAGCTTTGGTAGTGATAAAATTTGCTTTTTATTTGTGCTTTAAATATTCTTTTCTGGTTTTTAGAAATAGAGTAAAGTTGACCCTGAACAACATGGGGGTTAGAGGTGCTGATTCCCCATGCAATTGAAAATTCATGTATAACTTTTGACTCCCCAAAAACTTTACTACTAATAGCCTACTGTTGACTGGAAGGAAGCCTTACTGATAACATAAAGTCATTTAACACATATTTTATATGTTATATGTATTAAATGCTATAGTCTTACAATAAAGTAAGCTAGAGAAAAGACAGTATTATTAAAATCATAGGGAAAAAATACATTTACTGTGTTTATTGAAAAAATTTCACATATAAGTGAACCCACACAGTTCAGACATGCTTACATTTTGAGTATCAAAATCAAGATACTTTGATGTAATTATATTGTTTATTATTTTACAGCTGTGTGTGGGTGAAGTTAGGGAGAAGCAAAAATAAGGGCATGAATCTTAAGATGAAGCTATGGTAAATTCTGTAAATAATTGGTTATTAAGTGTTCAGTTAACTTACCAGAGATGAGCTGAAAATTTGGCTTTGAATTTCCCGGCATAAATGTAAAGATAGAGAAGCATCTGTTGTATAATTCAATGTCAGTAAGCTTAAAATAAAGCTCTGAATCCATTTTTGTGATCATTGCTAGATATTGACATTATTAGCCAATCTCCTTTTTTTTCCTTCTACAGAAGGGATGAAAATGAGAAGTACCAAACAAGAACCAAATGGAAATAGTAAAGTAAACAAAGCAGTAAGTGTGACTTCTTTTCTTTCCTCTGCCCTGCCCTCCAGCCTGTGGTGGAGCTCAGCAGTATGTGCAGGCCTTAATGACTTTCTTCACCTGGGCTGTACTTAAGCTTGCTTTATAAATTTTTTAATGTCTATTACATTTATTTATTTTTTTTAATCCTCATCTGAGGATATTTTTTTTATTGCTATTTAGAGAGAGAGGAAGGGAGGAAGAGGGGGAGAGAGAGAAAGAGAAACATAAGCATCGATGTGAGAGAGACACACAAACTGGTTGCCTCCCACACACGCTGGGGGGCGTACCCGCAACCCAGGTACATGCCCTTGACCGGGAATTGAACTGGTGACTTTTCATTGTGTGGGCTGATGCTCTGACCTCTGAGCCACACCATTCAGGGCAACATTTACATTGTTAAAAACAGAGACAGCAAGTGATTCTATCTAGGATAGAATCTTGAACTAGGTGGTTTGCTTCTGACCTGAAAAGGTACCAGACCAGTCTCTTGGTTTTGTTTAATGGTTTTTGTCAGTGAAGTCATAGCCTCATTAATAACCTAAGTTTTTACTGTAGTAAACTTTAGAGTTTTTAGTCAGCATTGTGTGTGTGTGTGTGTGTGTGTGTTTTGTTAATCCTCACCCAAGGATATTTTCCCATTGATTTTTAGGGAGAGTGGAAGGGAGGGGGAGAGAGAGACAGAAACATTGATGTGAGAGAGACATAGTGATTGGTTGCTTCCCACACAACCAGGGCTGGGAATTGAGCGTGCAGTGGGTAAACTTTAGAGTTTTTAGTCAGCATTGTGTGTGTGTGTGTGTGTGTGTGTTTTGTTAATCCTCACCCAAGGATATTTTCCCATTGATTTTTAGGGAGAGTGGAAGGGAGGGGGAGAGACAGACAGAAACATTGATGTGAGAGAGACATAGTGATTGGTTGCCTCCCACACAACCAGGGCTGGGGATTGAGCGTGCAATGGAGGTACGTGCCCTTGGCCAGAATTGAACCCGGGACCCTTCAGTCTGCTGGCTGACACTCTATCCACTGAGCCAAACTGGCTAGGGCAGATTTTCATTTTTTAGAACTGCATTTACTCTACATTAAGGACTTTATCTCATTTTTAAGAAGCAAAGCTTACATGAAATGAAAGCTAGGTATTAAAAAAAAAAAAAAACCGGACCCTTTTTTTTAATGATGTTTACTTTGAATTTATATTAGTTCACACAAACACTCCATCCATGCTTTTGTTCCGGCCCTCCGGTCCAGTTTAAGAACCCATTGTGGCCCTCGAGTCAAAAAGTTTGCCCACCCCTGTATTAGACCCTTGAGCAGAAATCATTTAAGGATATAGAACATCATTTTACATTTTGGTGATGTAGGTTTTAAGTTATTTGACTTTACTGTTAGGAATCCCATTTGTTATGTCAATATACTACTTCAGAGTAACAAAAGATTAAATTTAAAGATTTTGAGACCTTTAGATTCTTGCCTAAGATGTATTATTTTATGCTAACAACTGGTACTTGTATGTTCCCAGCAGGAAGATGATTTGAAGTGGGTAGAAGAAAACGTCCCTTCTTCTGTGACAGATGTGTAAGTTTTTGAATCATTACTAAAAGAATCCTATTCACAGGTAGTATTGAGGGCCAGAGTACACTAATGAGAATGTTTGTAGTTAACTTTTCAAAAGAATAATTAAAAACATTAAAAAGATGTTTAAGAATAAAGATTAGGAATGATATACGTACAAACAAAAGTAATTGAGATTATTCGGTCAGATGACATTTTTGTTTAGAAAGATTTCGATATAGATGTTTCCAAAATCAGTGGGATAATTCTTTTGGAATATTTTTTGATTTTTTTACTTTTTTGTAAAGATTATCGTTTACATTCAGTATTATTTTGTACTAGTTTCAGGTGTACAGCACAGTGGTTAGACAATCATATACTTCACAAAGTGCTTCTCCCCATATTTCTAGTACCCACCTGGCGCTGTACATAGTTATTACAATATTATTGACTATATTCCCTATGCTGTACTTTATACTGTGACTATTTTATAACTACCAATTTGTACTTCTTAATCTCTTCATCTTTTTCACCCATTCCCTCAACCTCCCTCCCTCTGGCAACCATCAGTCTGTCCCTGTATCTATGAATCTGTTTCAATTTTGTTTGTTCATTTATTTTTGGAATTTTTGGCTTCTTTTCCATAGCTATAATTTCATTTTTTAAAAACATTTATTTGTTTATTTATTTTTAAATATATTTTTATTGATTTCAGAGAGGAAGGGAGAGGGAGAGAGAGATAGAAATCAATGATGAAAGAGAATCATTGATCAACTGCCTCTTGCACACTCTGCACTGGGGATTGAGCCTGCAACCCGGGCATGTGCCCTGACTGGGAATCGAACTGTGACCTCCTGGTTCATAGGTCAATGCTCAACCACTGAGCCATGCTGGCTGGGTATAGCTATAATTTTAGTAAACATTGGTTCTATTACAATACAGAATGTGTTTTTGTTTTTTAATACAATTTTAGTAATTTTGATTCTTGTTTTTTATTTGTCCCCCCCCCCAATAGCCATTAAAAAGATACAAATATTATATACTTAACAAAAAAAAAGCTTTATATTGCATTCATTATTCCATTGTCCTTTTTGAACCACATTTGGCTTTATTTTACATTATTCTATTTGGTGTTTTTCTCTCTGCAGAGCACTTCCAGCCCTTCTTGATTCAGACGAGGTTAGTAATCAAATCACGTGCAAAAAAATATGGGTCTAGTGACTTATTAGGGAGTCATAAGTTCTTTGTTCAGGGAGATTTTATTTGACTCAGTAAGAGTATCATTGAAAAGGATGAGAACAGAAATACTAACATTAGAACTCAAATGTTCAGGAGGGTTTACTTTCTGTATATGTCCTCCTTTTCCAAAGTTTTATGGTCAGACTTGAGAATGTCTTTAATTTGGGTAGCAAATAACTAAAAAAAGTATAATTTCTTTACTGTCCCACTTTCTACTTCCTTTGTCTTTAAGAAATTCAGTTTTAACCCTTACTTAATTTAGGAAAAAATAATAAAAGGATTGAGAAAGGAATATCATAGACCAAAGGAACATATAAATTATTTTAAGTTACCTATTATTCATTATTGTCCATGCAACTATCTCTTTCATATATTAAGGATTATAATTAGTACCTCTGATGTTTATTTTTTAAAATATATTTTCATTAATTTCAGAAAGGAAGGGAGAGGGAGAGAGAGATAGAAACATCAATGATAAGAGAGAATCATTGATCAGCTGCCTCCTGCATGCTCCCTACAAGGGATGGAGCCTGCAACCTGGCCATGTGCACTGACTGGGAATCGAACCGTGACTTCCTGGTTAATAGGTCCATGCTCAACTACTGAGCCACACCAGCTGGGCTTATGTTGATTTTTAATCTTAATATGCTTCCATACAGTTCATCTGAAAGGCTTCACAATAATTGCCTGAGTTAATGGGAACTAGTTCTGGACATGTTCTGAATATTGGGTTAGAGTCTCTTGGTTTTAGGAAGCCTTTTGAGCACACCAAAAAATTATGGTCAAGAACAAATAAAATGACCATCTTAACGAGTCTCAAATGCAAAGTGTTAACTATATGTGCATTCTTGGGCAACAGATCTCTAGAACTTTTTATCAATATAATTTTAGTGAGTGTAATTTCTTTATAAGGATATACCATAGTTTGTACAATTCTGTGTTTTTGAACACTTAATTTTTTCTAGTATTTTATTCTGAGTGTTGCATTAGAAATTCTTGTGACTAAATCTTTGCCTATATCCCTGACTATTTCTAATTCAGTTAAATTCCTGAATTAGAGGAGATACACATTTTTATTAAAGCTTAATCTTAAGTAAATTGTTGTTTTATCATCTTATTTGACTCTAAAACATGCAATTCCTTTTGATTTGTTGTTTGATATACAGAGGCCTAGAGATTTTGATTTGGTTAATCTTGTGTGGGGCCTGGACATGTCTATCTTTCAAAATTTTCATAAATGATTAGGAATCATCTCTCCTAAGTATTTAATGAACATAAACAAGTACTTGCAGGAAATGCCTGTGTGCCTCATCTATATAGAAGATACTTGGAATGTAGGCCATTTAAAATTAATGTATTTTGAACAAACCTTTTTATTTTTTTCCCTAGGAACGAATGATCACACACTTTGAAAGATCCAAAATGGAGTAAAGAGTGGGAAGATGTGCAGTTGAAGATGCTCGTATCTGGGAAGAGATCATCTTCTGTCAATCCTCTGCACTGCTCCATGGATTGAAGGAGGCAATGACATCCTGATCTGTTCCTTGATCTTTGTGCTTTGGAGCTGGCGAGAGGTGTCAGAACTAGAACATCTTATTGAATGATGTTCATAGGATGAAAAAATTCTGCAAGTTTCTTATTTACAACATTGATGCCCCATTCCCTCCCACACCCTCACATGGATGTTGATGCAACTTATGTGTGTTCTTCCTGAACCTTCTATGATGTTTAAATTGTTTAATCTGTCAAACTAAAAAGTTCAACATCTTTTAAAAAATGTGACATCACCACCATAACATGTAATCTCCAGGAGCAACTGCCTGCGATTTTTATTTATTTAGGGAGTTACATAGGTGATGGGGAAATTGTTAATTATCTTTCCGTTTCCTGGGAAGCCAAGGTTACATCTTGAAGAGGTAGTTTTGAGGAAAAAAAGTCCTTATGACTTGAGCCATGGTTCTACCAATAATTAAAAGAAAGAAAAAAAAAAAGAGAGAGCGAGGGAGAGAAAGAAACTGTTACAGTGTAATCCAGATAATTTTAAAAAGCAAAATCAAGTGCAATTTTGTTTACAAATGGTATATATTAAAGATTTTTCTATTTCAGATGTACTTTAGAGAAAAAATATTAGCTTAACTCTTTTGACATCTGCTATTGTGACACATCCCATTGCTGGCAATGTGGTGCACACTCCAGAACTTTTAACTACTGTTTTGTAAGCCTCAAGGCAACATTGCAGACTCCAGACATTGCTTTGTTTGCCTTCATTTACTGGGTGTTGCACTAGATGCAGAGAGGCACACCATCTAAGTGCTTGTGAATGAGCACCCTGTTAAAAACTCTAATTCTTCAGAAGCAGGAGCCAATACAAAGGAAACAGGTCCTTCTGGTTTAAGTTTTGCTGCATGAAGTAGTATGGAGACCCTGGACTGCTGCTCATTCTTTAGGGTAAACGGTTCTTGTATTTGGTGTTGGTTTAGAGACTGTTTATAAGAGACATCACAAGGTGATGGGATTCATTTGAAGCACTCTATTTCTGTTTTAATGGTTTTGTCTACTTTTGCCTTCCAAGAGTTTTGTTCTACATAGAAAGTTCATGCCGTTTTTTAATATAAAAAATTTTAACAAAATTAGTGTGTTTTCTGTGTCTTTTTTTTTTTACTTTATCTAAAACCCTTCTTTCTCCCATACTCTCATGGGAATTTTCCTTCCATGATTTTTATTCTATATCGCCTTCTTATCTGTTGAAACCAATAACCACATGACCACAATCTTCACTAATTAATACTATAGTAAAAGTGTTTACATTTATGTAACATTTCTCTACAGCTGTTTGTGGTGTGTGTGTGTTTAAAATATATTTTTATTGATTTCAGAGAAGAAGGGAGAGGGGAGAGAGATAGAAACATCTGTGATGAGAGAATCACTGATTGGCTGTCTCCTGCACGCCCCCTACTGGGGATCGAATCTGAAACCCCGGCATTTGCCCTTGACCAGAATTAAACCCGGGACCCTTCATTCCACAGGCCGACATTCCAAATTGGCTAGGGCTGTGTTTGTGTGTGTGTGTGTTTAAATCACTAAGGCAATACCTCTAAGGAACCATATGAGAAATTGACTATATTCTTAGATTAACCCATTACAAAGGGCTGATATAATTGTCATATGCTTCTGTTCTTCCATACTAAAACTTAGCAAGTGAATAATAGTCGTAATAGTCAGGATAGTTGGTCAAATGTTTTTTGAGGCTGGTTAGATGTCGACTTGAGACCAGGAAAAACCCCCCACAAAACTATTGTGATAAGCAGAGGTTTATAGATGTAGCCTGGGACCTGATAATTCTTTTTCTATGGCTTCTTATGATTGTATATAGTGTGTCATTTTTTTAAGAAGGCGTTCAGAAGGAATTTATAGTATTACACTGACCTGTTACCTTATAGTTTGCATTGTTTATTTTAGTCTTAGCCCTTGGTCCTGGAACTAGGTATTATTAGGCTTCCTTCCAGTAGAGCAGCTGGCAATTATAAATTTTCAAGGAGTTCAGTTTCTATGGTAAAAATCAGACAACATAAGGTTTGTTTAGCATTTTTTTTTGTTTCTTACTACTTGAAAATATTTGATTATCAGAAATAGCATTTGATAAAGATCAGACAGTATTCCTAATTTACAATGAAGAAACTGAGATTGTGTAAAATTAAAATGACCAGGCCATCTTTAACTCATCATAGACTCACGCTTTTTTTCTTTTACATTTTTGCTTTAAACCAAATGCTTAATTTTATGACATACATGCTGTTTTCTTGGGGGTAAATTGCTAGATACTGGTCATTGCAGTGCTTCTCAAACTTTCAAGTGCATGGGCTCACCTTGGGAATCTATTAAACAGACTACTGGGCGCCCCCTCCTCCATCCTGCCACTCTTCAGAGTTTCTGATTGAGTAGGGCAGGAATGAAGCCTGAGACTTTGCATTTCTAACAAGTTCCCAAATGCTGCCAGTCTAGGGACCACCCTTTGAGAACCACTTGCTTGGAACACCTTTAAAATGTAAGGGTAAGGCTGTGATTATAATGGTAATACTAAAACGATCAGTTATTGAGTCAAGCATTGCTAAGAGCTCACAGCGCTAGGTAGGTACATAAAGTCATCGTTTTGCACATTAAGGAAATTTAAGTCCTTGGGAGATTAAATTTTTTAAATGTCACAGCCCGTTTCCTAAATGGCAGATCTCCGTCCCAGGTCTGACGCCAAAGCCCGAATTCTATACTTCCTAACCCTGTACTTCCACCACCACACTATACTTCCTAACACAGTTCTAAGATTCCATCATTTCCCCTCCTTGTTAAGCCCATGGCTACTCCATAATGGAGAAGCTCGAGACTATACTTCCTAACACAGTTCTAAGATTCCATCATTTTCCCTCCTTGTTAAGCCCATGGCTACTCCACAATGGAGAAGCTCTCTAGGCCTAGGGTGAAAGGGGAACCCAAGCATTGGTGCATTCCTTGAAGGTGATTTAAGAGCTAGGGCGGAAGGGGCGGGCTCCGGCTGCGGAAGGGGTGGGCTTAGGCCAGCAGGAAGTCCGGTGTTGGTGATGGCTCTGTTGCTGAAAGGCCTGTAGTTGGGGTCTCCGGCCAGGTTCTGCTCGGCCCTTTCCTCAGAGCGGTTCTGTTTACGGCCCGGCCCGGCCAGGCCCGGCCCTCTCAGAGTGAGGCTGTCCCGGCGACTCTGCTCGCCGCCATGCACGACGCCTTCGAGCCGGTGCCGATCCTAGAAAAGCTGCCTCTGCAGATCGACTGTCTGGCTGCCTGGGGTGAGTCGGAGGACCGAGGGGCCGAGGCGGGGGGCAGCGCGGGAGCGGCGCGGACCCTTCACAAGCCTCGGGAAGTGGACGGGCGTCTGGCGATGCGCGCTCCGGTCGGACGCCGTCCGAAAGGGAGCTGCGATGAAGGCGTGCAGAGCATTGTAGATAGCGAGGGCTCTTAGGACCATCCCCTGGGATCCAAGCATTGTAGGGACGTGCCGCCGGCACTTGCTCTTGGTGCAGAGTTGGAGGTTGAGCTTTTCTTAATTGTGCTCAGCTTTGGCTTATTTCGATTCCCAAGAAGTCTTTAGTGTGGAGGCACAAGCAGTGGGAAGCTTTCAGCCTGCCAGGAACTTGAGCTTATCTGATGATTGTGTTGTACTGGTTTGGGGGGAATAAGAGGGGTGTGTGGGGGGGATGAATAGGAGGGGGATTGGAACAAGTTAACAACATATGCCATTTTCCCCTTAGTGATCATTCATTGTTCACTTCTCATTATTGTAGGTAACTCACGTTGTTATTTAAACTCTTAATCTAGCCCAGCGATTTTCAACCAGTGTGCCACAAGAATTTGTAAAATATGCACTACCTGACTGTTTAGTTAAGGGCACTGACCTGTTTTCCCTTAGATTGTAAAAAATTAAAAAAAAAAAAAAGAGAACAGCCAGCAAAACAATAACCGTCCGGAGTGAATGAATAAAAATTGTACCCATTTTTGGTCAGATCAGCAAAAATAACCAACAGTTTTTGGTGTGCTGCTGAATTTTAGTAATTAGTTTGTGTGCCATGAGATGAAGAGGGTTGAAAATCGCCGATCTAGTCAAATGGTTCATTGCCTTATATTCAAGTGCCCAAGTTACCTTAACTCTGTAGGTAGAACACCATCATTCCAGGCTGTCCTGAAATTTAACCCATAAAAACTGGCATAAGCCTCTTGGGAGTGGCCAGTACAGAAAACAGGGTCAGACAGCTCTTATCTCTTGTATACTGTGGAATAAAAAAGGTTTCAGCGGTCTAAACTTGGACTCTTAACTGTGAACATTATGACTGGTTGTGTCTAACAGCCCCCAAAGACCAAACTGAAATAATTCCAGTTTTTCCTGTTAATGTCCAGGTAAGAAATCAAGGACTATAAAAAGGTAGCTCAGAACCCTTAATCAGGTCTTATACTGAGGGCCTGGTAGGAATCTCAGTGGTGGCTGGCATTTTATGCATCATCTTATGGACAGTGCCACCCAGTCAGCCTTCCCCGTGATGGGCCTGGTGGAGTCTTGGTGGTGGCTGGCATCTTATGCATCATCTGTGGACAGTCCCACCCAGTCAGCTTTGCAGAGTTCTTCACGGCCTCTTCAGTAGGGTGCGTTCACTACAGATTTTCATGTTAATGTACACCCCTCCTGCCTTAGCAGCCCTGGGCCTCTTTAAAATCGCATCTCCATAGTAAGCAGTCCTCATCCTTTGGGTTAAGGAGAGAATCCTGCTTCCTCCAGATATCTCAAGAAGGCCTCCATTTTCTGTCATTAAGTGCTCTCGGTAAGAATTTAAAACTTTAAAAATGAAAGACCTGACACTGCACAAAGGGTTTCATTCCCCTATTTCTTCATCAGATATGTATTAAGTACCTACTTAGACCCATCTCTCTGCTAGGGACAGGAATAAGGATGAGTAAGACTCAGTGCCGGTGCTTCTGGGACACATAGTGGGGGACAAAGACATAAAGCAGATTATGGTACGAGATAAATGATAACAGAGTCATATGCTGCCTATTAGGAAACATGGAGGAGGGGTACCCAACCCTGCCTAGGACTTGCGCTTCTGAAAAGGATGGGTGTAGTTGCTTACCACACTCTACTTCATTTGTCACAATTTGACTTGGGTACCCTGTGGAACTAGTAGTAAACATATCTCAGCCTCTCTCACCAACAACACTTTGTCACAGTAAAGATTCCCTCCCTGTACCTGTGCTTTTCAGGAAGACAGGCTTGAAATGGTAGGTAGCTTTGGACCTGCCTTGATCTTCCACCAAACAGGAGATATGCCTGTTGCCTACTAGGATGTTGTGGTAGGTATTGGGGCTACAAGAGGCCATTTACCGCCTCTTGCCTCAAAACTGCTTTATTTTCAGGCTTTAGCAGCAATCAGTATTACTCTAGTCGCTGCCCCTTTTACCTGATGTTCATCCAGGAACTTGCAGGACCGACAGTATTTGAGCTGGACGATAATCTCTCTTCAGAAGTGGAAATAAGGAGGGCACTGATGATGATGACCTCTCTAAACTCCAGAGTTGTAGAATCCAGCTGCCTTTTAAGCATCTTCATTTTGGGTGTCTAGTACCATGGCCAGAAAATTCTTGATGATTACACTCTCCCAAAACATGCCTTTCCCTCATACCATATCCCAGCAAATGTCATTTCTGTTTACTCATTTGGCTAAGGCCTAAAGCCTTGGAATCATTCTTGACTTCTCCTTTTCTCTTATACACCACATTCATTCCATTAGCAATCTTGTCTGCTCCTCCTCCAGAATAAATCTAGATCCCAGTCATTTTTTTCCATCTCCACTTTTTCTACTCTTGATGAGGTCACCATCCTCTCTCATCTAAATTACTATAGTAGTCTTCTGACTGATCACCTGTGTTTGCCATTGTGCCATTTTCAGTTTTTTATCCACACAGAGTGATCTTTCAAAAACTTAATTACATCTCTTCTCTGCTCAAAATCCTTCAGTAGCTTCCCGTCACAATTAGAATAAGTTCCAAAGTCCTTACCATGGCTGGCTATGCCTGAGATGGTCAGGCCTCTGGTTTTACTTCCCTGACTTTATCTCCTAGG